AGCAGCATCAGTAACTTTTGTTCTTGTTCTCTTAATGCGTTACGGTAAATATTTTTGTCTTCATTTTTACTGTTAAGATCGAGATGAAGTTGAGGCATCATTCCCTGTCTCCTGCCCGTTGGTCAATGTTGCTGGTTGCAAGTTGCTGCGTTGCTATTGCTGTTGCTGCTGGTTGCTGCTGGACTCCAATTAGCCAGGCACTCACTCCCCGTGCAACACATGCGGGCCTTGATGGCCTAAAAAGACAGGTGGGGCGGCGGTCTAGGGCCATCGAGGCTTGGCCAGGTGCCAAGAACTCAATCATTGCATTTGTTGAAACAATTGACGGTTGCTTAATGTGCAAAACGTGAGTCCAATTTGCATGACAACAGCAATAGCTGCTTGCAATCGACAACAACCACAGAGGGCAACCTTCATTAGGTAGAAAAAAAGTATAAGTATTCTGTGCCGAAAGATTTGTGCAGCATTTAATGTCGATTTATTTTAAATCGAAGTCAGACAATTTATTAAACTGTTGCCCATCGCGAACTGCAGAGATCTTTAGAGATGACAAAGTATTAGAGTTTATATACTATTTTTAAATAAGCTGATCAGACTAGGTTCTAATTCTTAAAAATATTTCATTAATCAAGATTTTTGTATTTACTTTTCCGGCTAAAAAATACATTTTTCAAACTTTTGTTTGGTGACCCTGATTCCTTTAAAATATTACATTATTTTCTTATAAAAAGATATACTTTTTCTTCTTTTTTTATGAGGTCATCACCCCACTCAAAACTGTTTCTCCGGCCCTGCATATAGAGTATATCGAAGAAAAACGAAGAGAAATCCCGCCTTTACCACGGCCCAATTAAGTCAGTTTCTATTTAAATAGATAGATAGTAACTCTCCCAAATACTTGCCAAGTTAAGCATTTTCCAACTTAATGTAACAACTACTTAAATAATTATGAGATTATCATAAATAAATCCTCTCAGATTGGTACTTACTCAGTTAGCTCCTTGATCTGCACTGCAATCTTTCGTCTTCTTGAAGTAAGATAATCACCGCAACCACTTTATTCGCAACATTAACACTTAACACTTTACCCTGAAATTAAATAAGAAAAAAAAATAATAATAAATAATTTGTTACAAATAATAATAGTTAGAATTATTTTGTTAGTAAAAAAGGTATTTACCTCTTTGGGTTTTTTATTCACTGCATCTTGAAGTTCACTCCAAGCAGAAAGGAATAGTCATCACCTGTAATGAAAAGAAAATTTGAAAATATGTATTAGTTTAATTATTTTATACAAATCGATTGTTTAAAAAAATACATACCCAAATGTGTTGATGCACTGCATCCTGGAGTGGAGTTCAATAAGATAACCACTGCAACCACTTTATCCGCAACATGTACACTTTACACTTTACCCTGAAATTAAATAAGAAAAAAAATAATAATAAATAATTTGTAACAAATAATAATAGTTAGAATAAATTTGTTAGTAAAAAAGGTATTAGTAAAAAAGGTATTTACCTCTTTGGGTTATTGATTCACTGCATCTTGAAGTACACTCCAAGTAGAAAGGTATAGTCATCACCTGTAATGAAAATAAGCATTCCAAAATATTAGTTAAATTATTTTATACAAATCGGTTGTTTAAAAAATACATACCCCAATGAGGTGATGCACTGCATCCTGGAGTGGAGTTCAATAGAAGATCACGCCATTCATAATTGATCCTGCAGCCTGTTGTCCAGTCCATTTATGTGGTGTCAGCATACTATATATCTCCGGTAACCGCATTCTTACAACTATTCTTACTATATATATTTATATTATATGTCCCTACTTGTTTACAATTATTAATTGTGTTTGATTTTCATGTACTTCAAGTTCAATATTTCATAAAATTTACCTTTAACATTTCTTTCATGTTCTTGAAAACTTTCAGATCTTTATCTGTTGCTTTTAGTTTCTTTGTCAAAATATTTATGATTTCTTAAAATATATAACTTAATTATTTATTGTACTCACTGCGTAATAACCTTGGTGCAGTGCATCCTGATGTCGAACTTCAAGTTACAAGTTGGATGGTGTCACCAATTATTTTCTGCAATCAGCCAAATACACAACCAAAAACCTGAAAAAAAAAATATAAAAAAATTTAATTAATTAACTGCATTTTTTTACAAAAGCCACGTCATCACATAATTAAAAAAAAACTGCAACTCACCTTTTCAGGTTTGGATGCCCTGCATCCTGGAGTCCACTACATGCAGGAAGGGATCGGGCACCTTTAAGTTCATGCCAAGTCAGGTCATGATGCAGTGCATCCTAGGAGGAGTCGACCCATGGTGCACTGCATCCGGGAGTGGACTCCAGTAGGTGGAGTCGACCCAAGATGCACTGCATCCGGGAGTGGACTCCAGTAGGAGAAGTCGACCCATGATGCACTGCAGCCGGGAGGGGACTCCAGTAGGAGGAGTCGACCCATGATGCACTGCATCCGGGAGTGGACTCTAGTAGGAGGAGTTGGCCAGATACTCTCTCCCACTCTGGAACCACGTCACTAACACACACGCACACACACACACTTCCAGAGACCGGAAAAAGTTTCTTAGAGAAACTGCCGGTCATCCCGGAGAACTGAGAAATTGGCCAAAATCAAGGGGTATCCCACTACGAATCAGCCAGAACCACTTGGGAATTATAGGTGCAAGAAAACGAAAAAAATAATTAATTATCATTGTCGCTGACGTGGCCATATTAATTTAATTAACATTTAGTTAACATTACATTTACATTATATTAAATTAACATTATTTTAACATTAAATTAACATTATATTAATATTAAATGGATTTTAATTAACATTTTACATTTAAAATAGTTTTTTACCTGTTGCATTTTGATTGATTGGTGTTGTTGTTTTATTAAAATAGCTTTTAAAAAATATTGAAATATTGAATATTGGATATTGAAAATTTGTGAGGGCATCACCCCACTCAAAACTGTTTCTCCGGCCCTGTCTTAAATTTTACTTACATTGTATTCAAAGTGCATGCAATTTCCATTTTTCGGCTGCCTGGTGACCCCGATTCCGCTCCTCCTTTCGTGTCACGCAGCCATCGCGAGGGACTCACGCTCTTTGGCGATGGCTCATCGGCTGCCGCTTTGTTGCATAGGTCACGTGTTTCGTCGTGTGTCTGGCCAAAATATCAGCAATTGAACTATAGACATTTTGGCCAAATGCAGTAAGCAGGCCAAAATGCCGCGATCCCGCCTTTTTTTTTTTTTTTTGTCTTGCGGGAGTGGAGTGGAGTAGAGTGGAGTGGAGTGCCGCGGAGGAGTTGCAGTTGCAGGTCGGCGCATCGCGGCAAATGTCAGATGCAAATGCGAAAAGGCAAGAGTCTTCTGTCACCTGCTAACTCTTGCACTTTTCGCTTTGGCCATTTCTTCTCCACTGTTTCCCCGGTAACAGTGCCAGTCATAATTAATACGCCTAATTTGAGTTACTTAGTCGCGCTGGCGGACAAGTTCTCGGTGGCTTCATTAAAAAGCCATTAGTGGGAGATGAATTTCGCCGCCTATCATCCGCCGCCACCCTTGGCAACTTTCTAATTAGAAACTTTTCCTATGGAGAGCATAAATTTCAGCAATGTTTGTTCGGTTTCCGATACAATCAAACACAACAGCCGAGTGTTGAGTGTGTCAAACAATTTAAGTGCCTTCGGTCCAAAGGCAAGTTTGCGTGGGAAATGCCGTCGATCGTCACGATCAAAAACGGCGACGGGAAAACTTTACTTTACCGTCAACTTCAAGTACATGGAAAATGCAAAGTTGATTTTATCGCCGTCTCTAACTCGCTCTTTGGCTCTGTCTTACTGTCTTGGTCTAAACTGATTTGCCACTTGACAAATGAGTTGACTGCCACATGTGCAATTTGGAAAACAATCCACCCACTTTAGTCCCCCTTAGATTTCCCTTCTTCCCCTGCGATCCAGCAATTTTCCGAGCGAGCCAATTTTCCTCCATGTCAGGCTAAAGCAAAGGAAAACAGAGCGAAGCTTAACAAAAGAAATTCTACCGCTTTTGACTTTGACAATTTGCGCATTGATTTAGAAAATAGCTCTTCCACTGAATTGGAGCACTCTCCATATGAAATTGACATGAAAAACATAGAAGGAAATTGCAGCTGGGAACAAAATACTCTGAAGAATTTGTTTGCTGTTTATAAATAAATAATTGTCAAATTTAATACAATTGCATTCTTTAGATTCACATTTAAACTATAAAGGTTTTTCTTTATGTCAGAAAATTTATTTAATTAATGAAGGGGAAACAGCAATTTTTTAGAAAGACATTGTAAATAAATTTTTTATTTAACTATTTCAAACAGTTAGTATTGGATTTTGTCTGTTGCTTAAATTTTGTGATAGAATAAAGACTCATGTAGCAGGGTATAAAAAGAAAAATTGGCCAGAAATTGAACTTATGAAAAAGAAACTTGGCCAGTTAGCCCAAGAAAACGAGTCGAACTCGAAAAAAAACAGAGGCAAAGCGCATCGAAATTTTTGTTTCGGTTGTTTTTCAATTTTTTTCTTTTAATTTTTTTTAGGATGGGGGTTCGGTGCAGGAAAAAAGTCATCATAGCCTGACCTTCATTGTTGTGTTGCTTCTAACATTTAAATTTGTTTTGCTTTTCCATTTTTTCGGGTCTGCTGTGCTGCTTTGTTTTGGCTTCTTTTCGATTTCAACAGAAAACGTGCCAAATTTGGCTGCCAGTTGCACGTTCCCCAAATTTAATACAGTTCAGCTGGGTTTGGCTTTGGCTCTAGCTTTGACCTGGTCTCCGGTCTCCATGGGCTATGGTCTCTTGTCTGGCAGCGAGCTCTTGACACACATCCCAGACAATTGTCGGCCTTATCAGGGTCTTATCAGCCGACCAAAGTTGAGAACTCGAACCAGAGGCAGTCGAAATCAGGGCGTAAATTCAGTCGGGCGCAGCATCTCTCGGTGAAATGTTGGACATTCTAGGTTTCTGGTTGATTCTCTACCTTTTTGAACTCAGCCAAGGGCGTTCTGTAGGCGGTGGGTGGGGCAACTTTGATGAGCAGGAGGAGGTGAGTGCCTTGACATGAGCTTTGTTTGCAAAACTACATTTTTGCTTTCTACTTATAGTTTCCAGCACCTCAGCCCGATCCCACAATCTTTCTCTACAATCAGACTGATAAGGAATTACTCTATGACAATAGTTGGCGTTAACATACATATTTGAAAATAACACATATGGTTAATAAATAGATTAATTATTTCATCGTAATGATTTTTTTGAACATCGCTAATTTTATTTAAATATTTTGAAAAGAAAATTATTTCAGCAGTTCTTTGATTTTCTAATATTTGAACTTTTACAGTTTGTTTTTCTTTCACATACAACAGTTAGGTAAATATATAATAGTTAAGTAAATAGTTTGGCTGGTGGTAAGGCTGTTTAAATATTTAAAATAAATAAATTCTAAGGAAGTTCTACTAGTTTCCTAGAACCTAAAGGTGTACACTCCTCCAGCTCCCCATTGAGGACGACTGTTGCCATAAGGACCTCCCAAGTGCTGGCCATACTGTCCAGTGGCGTCAAAGGAGTGGCGTCCATTGTTGCTCTGCCAAACAGGAACACGGGTGTTGAGGTTCAGATCAAATCCCTGCTTTGGGCTTCCACCGCCGCCGCCATTCAATTGGAATTGACGACGTACTCTGTGCAAGGGAGCATCAAAATTGGGGGAATACTACAAAGAAATTTAAATTAAAATATTTAAAGATTAATATATATATTTATAACTTACCGCCAAGGGTTCGGATTGAGTATTTACAATCTCTCGGGGATCAGGATACGGATAGGCCAAGGCACTCGAAAGGACACAAGCAAAAGCCAGGCCCATGAACAGAAAACTGGAGGCGAATTGCATTTTGCTTTGGTTAGACTCTGTCAACTGAATATGGCTAGAATGGGAACAGGCGCTTATATACCTCGGATCCGAGGCTTATCAATACCGATATTTTACGTGCTGGAAGATGATTCCCCGAAAGGGAATCCCAGTGCGAATGGTTCAGTGGTTCACTAGTGGATCCCCACATCTTATTGATAAGAACACCATGCAGGTTCCACAAACAGAGGCAGACGACAAAGAAAACCCCAACTAAACACAATAAAAATATAGGTATTTGAATTTGGGAATCATTCATGTGTTGCAACTGTTTAAACAACAGAAGAGGGGAAAATACTCTACCTATCAGTTCTAGATAAATTAGATATGGAACTCATAAAGAAAAAGAAAATACAGAACTGACATTGTATAACTCGTCTTTAAAATCTATTTAAATTTAAATAAATAATATTTTATCATAAGAAAAACTTTTTCAAAAAAAAACCCAATCTTATTTCTTCATCATAATTAATTGTTATTCCAGTTAAGCTACAAATCCATGTTATATCTTTTTAGCTCACTCTTTCTTTGTGATGACCTGATTTCAAATGCATATAATAAATCTCGAGCATCCGAGCAACTTTTTCTAGAGCACACTTCATATGTTTAGCTTCTGTTCTTAATCACTTTTAATCTCCAACAGCTCCACCTTTGGTTTCACCACTAAAAAGATTCTCTGATTTAAGATGACTTTCGCCAAAAACTGATTTCCTCCCAAGAAAACAATTAATAGCCAACCCACAAATTCCACAGGCGGAATGTTGTTTCCCAAATCGATTCATCATTTCACAAGGTCAACTCAATTTGCATTGCTTAGGTCAAATTAATGATGTGAAAAACTTTTTGGTAATCGCCAAATTGGGTTGTAAAAGAGTTTAGAAAACGGCCTCCTCATGAATCATTTTTCAAGCATTTGACCGAATCTTTTTCGCTTTCGTTTGGGGATTGCGTAATATTTTAAACTTGGGGTTAGGCATCGGATGTTTGCGGATGATGCGCCAGCGGCATGATAAATTTCCATCGAAGGTTCTTTCGACGGTTTACGCAATAAATCCAATTAGCAAAAAACATTTTGTCTTGGCAGGTTTCATTAAGACCGCCTGTCATCGTAATTTGTTATTACCCAACGGAGTTGGCCAAACAAGATGTATCAACAATTAGCCAAACTGCAAGATCATCTGTGACCCAACCCCAGTCTCTAGAAGTCTGCCTGAATGTTCCGGGGTAAACAGACATCGTCAAGGACACTGATGGCATTTGAGATAGGGAAATTATGGTCAGGTACACGTTTGGTTATACTCGGTAATATATTTGGCAAAAAAGTTTAACATACAAAGTGGATATGTTTTTTTATAAGCCGGAATGCATAGCGTTATATGCCGACTTTGATGACATTCAAGAACACAAATTTTGGTGATATATCAAAATGAATATATCGGATAACATATTTCGCAAAAAACAAAGTATTTTTGGATCTTAAAAGTTGGGGAATCTGTAGCGGTAGGTGCCTCCGACTTCCCATCGTGGTTCAGTGGTTCCATAACGTCCACCCAAATGCTGTCCATATTCTCCTCTCACATCGACCTCGTGCCGCTTGTTATCGCTGGTCCAAACGTTCTCATGTCCCCTAACTTTAAAGCCTAATCCATCGCCCCTCTGGCCACCTCCTCCTCCCTCCAGGTTGAGAGGATAGTGTGGCTCCGGAGTTTTCGGCAGGATCAGCTCCACGGGCATCGGATGAGCCCAAACAGCGCCGATTGCGCAGAAGGCGAAGGCAAAGATAATGGTTAACTGCATCCTGGTTGATCTCGATGGGAGAGCTTGGATTCGTTGACTGATAATTCCGCTGTAGATTTGGAGCTCTTTTATAGGACGATCGCCGGTTTGCTGAAAGGAATCCCCGATGCACCTTATCCGACTCAATATTGATTTTTGCGATCATTGCCCTATGATTGCATCTTTATACGGATCACCAGTCAACGATTGAAAAGAAACCCCCGTTGCAGCCTTATTTCTAAAGTGATTCCCCCGAAGAAATTATTATAAGGTATCATATGATTTATATATATTCCGAATACCGAGAAAACGCCAAATTTATTTAATTTAAATTAAACCATTAAATTTTTTTGCGATTTTATAATGGGGTTACTTCCAAAAAAAGTAAAAAAAAATCGGAAAAAACTAAACTAAACAAACTAATGATGCAGTTCGTTAGATAATTCAAATACAGCCGATTAGAGATACGCCACATCAAACTCTGATTGAAATTAGAAAAGTAATGAACTTAGAATTAGTGAATTATGGTAAATTTTCACCAAACCCATGGAACTTTTTATTATTCTGAACTTATAATATCCACTGCAAAATAAGTATTATTTAAAGATGCAAGTGTCTCACTTTTAAATTTTTTAAGTTCAACAAGTGAAGGAAAAAATTGTGTACCTCCTCTACCCAATAAATCATTCAATATTTTATTGACAAAGCCTTCTTTTGCCATTCTTACAGACGAGGTAAAAAATTACATAACGTTAACCTCCATCTGCCACCAAAAAAATTCAGGGCTTATTCATACCGAAATATGAAAGTTCGAATACGTATTTATGATTTTCGAATCCCCCAAAGAACGACCTTTTCGCTGTGCTACGGATTAATTTAAATCGTCGCAGCAGCAACGACGACAGACAAAAGAGCCGTGTATGTAAATAAACAAAAATACAAATATAAATATTTGATACACATTAATTGATTAAAAGCAGAGGGCAAACGTGAGCACGAAAACAGTTTCCCATCAGCAGTCGAGTGGCGAGGCAGCAAAGAGAAATGTTTATACAATCGATATTTATGAAAATATTGACCATTCTTTTGGTCTGCTGGGTGAGCAGATAGTACTGTTAATTATTTGCGAAATGTTTAAAATATTTTTGTTTGCTTTTGCAGTTGGGACTCGCCACTTGCCAGTCATCGGCCGACGATCAAGAGCTTGAAATTGGTATAAATGGGGAAGGCCCGCCAGAAAAGCAAGAACTTCCCCAAGTGGATTATGGCAATGGAAACTTCTATAGCCTTTTGTAAAACTTCCTCGATGAAGTAAAATACAATTTTTTATTCTTTTTCAAAGCAATCGTATGTATTAATTTTATATATTTCAATGCATATACCTTGTTTCTTATCAGTAAAGGAACAACCATTGCATTTAAATTTAAACATACTTCTCGGCAGTTGGGAATGTGAGCTATCAAAGTGGCTTTATCAACACATTTCTCGGTTTACTTTTAGGCTAGTTTATTTTTCTAGTTTATAAGTTCTGATATTTAGTAAATGAACAATACCAGCTTATTTATTTTCCGAAATCAAAATTATTTTCTCCTTTATTCAAAGTAGTAACTTAGGGCTACTAAAGCAATTGATATATGTGTCACTATTAATAAAAATATATTTAATGAGTAAAATAATACGTAATTTTAAGACTTACCAGCTAAAGGCCAAAGAGGAAGACACGCACACGGAAAAGTCATGCTAAAAACTATTCCGTAAACTAAACAAATCCTTTTAGACTACAATGCAATCTTCAATAAGAAATTTTTTTGTTTATTGATTCTATTCAAAATTGTTCACCTGATTCAAAGACAAGCACAGCGATATTGTGGATATGATCTGGCAAAGCATTACCACAGTAACTCCGATAACAATATCTCGGTTAATACTCCCCGGAAAGGTGTGGTACTTAAACTGCCTTTTCTGGTGATCAGGAGGATAGTTTACTAAGATAATAATAATATGAATATCAGACTTGAATTACATGCCTTGACTTACAATAACAATCTAGAATGTAGGCATAAAACCCAAAACCGCTCAATAAGTTCCATGTGGCAAAGGTTACAGTGACAAACCAGCGTTCATCCAATCGATTTGGCATACTTTTTCTGGGTTTTAATGTTAAAAATAGTATTAGTTTATGGGTACGTAAAATAATCTGAATCACTTTTGCCCGGCCTGCCCGAACGAAAATCAATTTAGCGTCAGGTTCAATGGACTTTTACGACAAGTGCGTGTCAGCTGGATGAAAAACTAATTGCGACCATTAAGACCACGCCCCCTTTTCGAGGGGGCGAAGTGGGTTGCCAGGGGCAGCGGTGGTGCCAAACTTTGGCTGTAACTAGAGCACTCAATAAAATGGGAATTAGCCTGGGAGAAACGGCATTAATGGCCGACGATTCACGATTTGGTTCCGGAATAGCAGTAACCTCTCCATTTCCCCCGGAGGTGGCAGCTTTGACACGGTTCCAAGTATCAATGCGATTTGTTTGCGGCACGCGAACAAAGTTCCTTTTATATTTTTTTTTTGTTTTAGCTGCAGTGCATCGGAAGTGAATTTGAGTCCTTTGACTGCGGCACAGTAATTGCGTTAATTTCGCCTGAATTACGTTTCACATCATTGTTTTTGCCACGCCTCCTTTTCGGTGTCTTGCATGTTTGGCGGCACTTTTGTGGATTTTCGAGTCCCCTCGCCCATCGAATCCTTCAATAGTTGCATGTCGACGGCATTTCTCCCCTTATAATTTAGAAAAATTATCCCCGGCCTTTAGTGCACTTAGAAAACCATTTATGCAAACTTTTGATCTAAATATAAATGGATAAATCAAAAATACAGCATTAGGGTTGTTGTAAAAATATTAATATAAATTAAATGAAAATACAAAACATTTTCTCTCAATGTTCCAATAATTCTTTTATACATTTCATTTGTTTTAAAATTTCAATTGCAGTTCTTTATACAATTTTCTCGCTTGCAACTCCGCCCTCTCCAAGTTCATTGACTTTGCCCGCAATTGCTTGATTCAACAATGAATAAACATATTTTTAAGGGTTCTCGGTCAATTCCAAGTGAACTCCAGAACGTCTATGATGTCATGTTCCACCATGTCCAGTGAGTCGAATGTGTCCTGCTCCTCCATTTCTTCACCATCGAAACGCAGGATCAGGGATCCAGGGGAAACGCCAAATGCTTCGGAGTATTGGTTTTTGAGTTGGTTGACCAAAGGCTTGTAGGGATCCACATTGCACTTCAGGTGATAACCCTTAGCAGATAGCATCCAAACGGCTTTGCTTTGGTTGGCCATTGTCGTGTTATTGCTATCTGGAAATCTATTTGTACATTGTCAGGATCCACGTGGCCTTCTCAGTTGGCCAAATTCATTCATTTTTTCGCCGCTTTTTGTTTGAAGCCACATCATCAGTGGCAGAAGGGCTGAGATTTATGAACAGTTGCCGGTGTAGCGCTTTTCAATAAATAAGTATCAAGAGAGCTGCGATAAGATAATGGTTAAAGTAGCTAAGACTATTTCCCAGTCACTATCACACTTGTCTGATACTTTTTATGTTTGTGTGGGTCAGCCTATCTCGCTCAGAAATCAATGGGCCATTAAAGGTGCAGACGTGGGCAAGTAAGTCAGAACCCAGCAACCCCAAGCAAACCTTGGTTTCGAATTTAAAAAACTAAGATATTTTATAAATTTAAACGGAATTATAGAGTCTATGGTAAACAAGTGATAACCATAGTTAAAACTGAAATGGGTTGGGATATTTACGTAACAAATTTATTTGGGAGAATATTTGTTTATACCTTAGGAAACCCATTTTCTTTTTCTCCTTTTTTTAAAGAAATCTAGGTTTTATACTATTTTACAATTTATTTTTATTTTAAAGTTCAAACCAACCCAAGTTTACACATCCATTTTAAGCTCATGCCCTTAAACGATCATCAGATTTATTTATATCCACCCATTGCCGCCCTTCTTTTGACCCAAGCAAAAGCACTCAAACTTTGAACTGGCAAATGAAAACCAGAAATGGGCTTATATTATATGTATGTTAGACCAAAGAGCATGATGACAAGGCAACATTTGGCCCACTGTGCGTGATAGCCGGCGCTATCTAAACGAATTTATAAATATTATACGAACATACGTATACTATAATAACGGCGGCAGAGAATAGAGCTTTGCGAGAGCTGAAGATTGCGTCGGCATTCAGTTTTTCAGCGGCCTTTCGGGAACCCAGTCGTCTTCGTTGCGAATTGGGAATCAGAACCCATTACCTCAGGTGGGAGGCAACTAGGAGGAGGCTCATTTAAATTCAAAACGAGTGGCAGCTAATTGCGACTGCGGCCAGAATGAAGTGCCTGATAGTGTTTGGTCTGATTGTGGCCCTGTTCGGTGCTTTCGTGGGCTACGGCTACGTGTTGTTCACGGATCTGACAAAGCCACTGCCAAAGCCGGAGTTCAAGGACGACACCTACTGGGGTCCTGGCGATGTCAAGGACTTTGTGCCCGACACAAAGATCTACGAGTTCAAGCTGCAAGTCCCGCAGGAGGAAATCGATGAGTTACGCAAGGAACTCAACCGCACGCTGAAACTCACGGCACCTTTGGACGGAATTTCCTTCGAGTATGGATTTAACACCTATGCCCTGGAGCAATTTGTGGACTACTGGCGGGACAATTACCTGACCAAGTGGGATGAGCGCCAGGCGTTGTTCAACTCGTTCAAGCAGTACAAAACTGAAATTCAAGGGTGGGTAAAAAAACCTTCCACTATCTGATTGGCATGACAAAGATTTATGACACTTGCAGCCTGAATATTCACTATATTCACGAGAAGGCCTCCGAGGAAGCCAAGGCCAAGAAGCACGTGTATCCCCTGCTGCTCCTCCACGGCTGGCCAGGATCGGTGCGGGAGTTCTTCGATTTCATTCCCATGCTCACCAAGGAAACTAACATCACGGACTACGCTTTTGAGGTCGTGGCACCTTCTCTTGTCGGCTACGGATGGTCTGATGTAAGTAAATAACTAATAAAAACTAGTCAGAAAAATAATTTAAATTTTTATTAGAAATATTTGGAAATTTGTAATATTTTTAAGAATATTACATTTTTTTCAAATTAATTTTAAAAGTTAAAGCAGAACCCACATTCTTTTAGCAATATTTTTCACTTGTTTTACCAATTCCAATTAATTAAATGAAATTTCTTTAAATATTGTTTAACATTTTGCTTACTTTTTTCTAGGCTGCTACACGTCCCGGTTTCAATGCCGCTGAAATGGCCACCGTGATGCGCAACCTGATGCTCCGTTTGGGCCACAAGAAGTTCTTCGTCCAGGGTGGAGACTGGGGCAGCATCATTGGCAGCAACTTGGCGACGCTCTTCCCGGAGAACGTGATCGGTTACCACTCGAACATGTGCGTCTTGAACACTCCGTTGGCAATTGTCAAGGGAATCTGGGGCAGCTTCTACCCCGAGAAGTACCTGCCCTCCAGATTCTTTGTGGACCACCACTTCCCCATTTGGGACAAGTGGGCAGATCTACTGAAGGAGAGCGGATACTTCCACATTCAGGCCACTAAACCGGATACGATTGGAGCTGCTCTGACTTCCAGTCCGGTGGGTTTGGCTTCCTACATCCTGGAGAAGTTCCAGACCTGCACGAATCCCGGTTTGCAGCAGGACTTTGGCGCCATTGTCACGGTCTTCGGACTGGAGGCAGTGCTCGATAACCTGATGGTATATTACCTGAGTAACTCGGCCACCACGGCGGCTCGGTTCTATCTGGAGAACGTGTCCAAGACCTACAGGGATCTCCAGTTGGAACGGGTGCAATCGCCAGTTCCCATGGGCTGTGCCCGCTTCCGGTGGGATCTTCCTTCGGCGACCGACTGGCAGCTGAGGGACAAGTTCCCCAACCTGAAGCACTCCATGTACTTCCAGCAGGGCAGCCACTTTGCCGCCCTGGAAATGCCAGCTATGTTGTTCAACGACTTTACCATCTTTGTTAAAAAGATTGGCCTGCACGGCGAAGAGAGTCAATAAATTGTTTTTATATTTTTATCAAATGTTCTTTTTATAGCGGTTTGATCAACGGGAAGAGACAGCTCTTAAATTCGTATCGTGACTAGTGCAATCAAAATGCTTGCTTCTTATTTATTTAATTTTTTAACAGGGGTTTCCTTCTTAATTTGTTAAGAATAAAAAATAATTCAAGCAAATACTGCATTATAGATGAATGATTATGAAAGACAGACGGAGAAATGTCTAGCTTAAGTTCTTAACTACATAACTGTTTATAAATAAAGTTGAGAACTCCAAAGTTAAAATAAAAGCGGTAAATTTCCACCCCCGATTGTTCGTGATACAAATATGTAGGTGCAAATTGTAAACAATTACCTGAAAACTGAACCTTTGCTGTCATTTAATAAACAATATTGATTGCTCGCATTGACTTCAATCAAAGCTTTCGTGTGTAGAAATAGAAATTCCAAATCATCATTATTTTCTTTTTTTTTTAATTTGGTTCGAAGACAAACAACAATTTCCATTCCTAGTATGAATAGCTTCCTCAACGCTTTGACCAGCTGATAAACAGAACTGGCTGATCACCTTTATTAACTTGATTAAAAGCTTTATTCTATTGGATGCTCTCTTTAAAATTTTCGGTTGCTCTTTAAATTACAAATTTGCCCTATCATGATGGCTTTGCAGGGTAGAAAGATCCACAATTGGTCCACAAGCGGAAAAAGCTTTCATTTGCCTTTTTGTTTTGGATCCGAAATCATTTGCGTTTGGTGATCCCACGCTACTAGTTGGGAGGTGTCTTCATATAAATATTATTAATTAAACATAATTTAGGCCCCATGGCGAAACTTTGGGTACGGTTTTTATTAGGAGGTCTGGCTTTACTTGTGGCCATTGGCTATAAAAAGTATGGAGAGCTTGCTGCACCCGGAAAGAGGCCCGATCTCGACAATAACGCCTACTGGGGTCCAAAGTTGAAAGGACCCTACCGGGAGAATAAGGCTATCTTGCCCTTGGACATCAGCGTCAAGCCAGAGGTGAGTTCCTAAATCCATACAATAAACACTTTTTATGCGGTCTTTCAAAGAACATTACAAGTGGTAATAAATATTAAAAACCGACTTTATTTTCTTAATAGGTAATTGAAGACCTCAGAAGCCAGCTAAGTCGCCCTTCGAAAGCACAGCCTCCATTGGAAGGGGTGGCTTTTGAATACGGATTCAATGCTAATGAACTGGCCAAGATGATTAAATACTGGAGAGATACCTATCTGGTCAAGTGGAACGAACGCGAGCAGTATCTTAAGAAGCTAGATCACTTCCAAACGGAGATTCAGGGGTAATTAGCGGAATACTAATGGCATATTTATTTTCCGGCATTTGACCCTGCATTAACATATTAAGTCAAAAAGTTAACCACGCATTTAATCCATTTTTTGCAGTTTGAAAATACATTTTATTCACGCCAAGCCCAGCCAGGTGAAAGGCCAGAAGCCCAAGAAGGTGCTCCCCCTGCTCCTTATGCACGGATGGCCGGGAACTGTTCGCGAGTTCTACGACTTCATCCCACTCCTGACCACTCCAAGTGATAAGAGCGACTACGTCTTCGAGGTTATTGCTCCCAGTCTTCCGGGCTATGGATGGTCTCAGGTTGGTATCCTCGAAATAGTTAAACATTCGTTTTACATACAAATTTTAATGAAAATCTTTAATGAATTTTTATGTCTATATTCAATTCCTTTCCAGGGCTCTTCAAAAACTGGATTTGGTGTTGCCCAAGCTGCTGTGGTGATGCGCAATTTGATGCTCCGTCTGGGATTCGAGAAATTCGTGGTGCAAGGAGGTGATTGGGGTTCTATAATCGGATCCAATGTGGCATCACTTTTTCCCGAGAACGTACTGGGTTACTATTCAAATATTTGCGGAAACCATAGTCCCCTTGGCCAAATTAAGATGAGTCTGGAATGGATTTTCCCCAGCTGGTTTGTAGACAGCAAGTACACAGATTTTTACAAGGGATTGGGTCACCATGTGAACACCATTTTGGAGGAAATGGGATATGCTCACATACAGGCCTCCAAACCCGATACAATTGGCAACGCCCTGATCGACAATCCAGCTGGACTGGCAGCTTATATTATCGAGAAATTCTCCACATGGACAAACCCTTCATATAAATCACTCCCCGATGGCGGATTAACCAAGAGATTCACCTACGATCAGCTTTTGGATAATGTGATGATCTACTACCTAACCAATTCCATTACCACTTCTATGCGAATGTACTCGGAGTCCATGGTTGCATCGCAGTTTGCTTTGAATGTGGATGGCGTCCCCATTACGGCCAAAGCAGGCTGCAGTCGATTCGTCCATGAGGTTCTGCACACCTCCGATTCGGTTTTGGCCAACAAGTTCCCCAACCTGATACACAGCACCTACCATTCGGATGGCGGACACTTTCCTGCTTTTGAACTGCCTCAGCAGCTTTACGATGACTTTATTATTTACATCCAAAAGGCTGAGTTCTAAATAAGGAATTTATTATCTACAAGTGCTAAGAATAAACTGTTCATTTTTATTTTAAAAAAATGTCTTGTCTTTGCATTGAAAACAAAAACTTAATATTTTTGGTTTTGGTATTGCAATAGGTGTTTGAGTGGAGATCTAAATTAAATTATTGAGCTCCCCAATGGTTATACTGAAAAGCTTCAAACAAAAAAAATCACAAGAGCTTTCACAAGTAAATAAAAACAAACAAGTCGATCCCATCAAATCGCATACACAGAGAAAATTTGGACCTAACAAATTATAAGAATTTTTAGGCAATTTGAGTGATAGCGAAAGATGTGTATCGCGGGTAACATTCTGATTATCAGAGGTGAGTTTGTCAAAATGTGTTTAAAGAAAATCCAACAAAAAATTAAATAGTAACGCAATGATGTGACTTGTTGTTTTTTGATCATAAGCATTACCACATAGCTCTTCAAAGAAGGTGAGTAGCAAACCTCCAGATTTGCCCCATCATGCTGGCATTGCAGTGCAGTACGATCCACTTGGGATCCACAAGCCGGCAAAAGCTTTCATTCGCCGGTGGTTTGCGTTTTGAAATCATTTGTGTTTGGTGATCGCACACGACCAGCTGTGCAGTAAGGTTTTTTCCTATTATATATACATATATATATAATATAAGGTATATATATATAACCACTATGGCGAATATCTGGGTGCGGTTTCTAGTTGGAGGCCTGGCTATTTTGGTGGCCGTGGGCTATAAGAACTATCGTGACCTTTCTGCACCTGGAAAGAGGCCCGATCTGGACAACAGTGCCTACTGGGGTCCAAAGTTAAAGGAACCCTATCGGGAAAATAAAGCGATCCTGCCCTTTGATATCAGCGTTAAACCTGAGGTGAGTCTTTTGTAAGAAGATTCGAAAAATAAAGCATTGAATAATCATTTGTTACATTTTATAAACAAATATTTGGAAGTTTACTATGAAGATAATTGATTATCTTATTATAACATTTATTTAAAATACATTGTTAATAATTCCAATTTTTGCCACAGGTTATTGAGGATCTAAAGAGCCAGCTGAGTCGTCCTTCCAAGGCGCATCCACCATTGGAGGGTGTGGGATTTGAGTACGGATTCAATGCCAATGAATTGGCCAAGGTTGTGAAATACTGGAGAGATTCCTATCTGGCCAAGTGGAATGAACGCGAGCAGTTCCTTAAGAAGCTGAATCACTTCCAAACGGAGATTCAGGGGTAATGAGCAGAACACTAACGGCAAACCCTTGTCCTCTATCCATAATTTTTTCCCGTCATTTCGACCGGCATATCCACATTAACCCCGAAAGTTAACCCCACACTTACTCACTTTTTTGCAGTTTGAAAATTCACTTTATTCACGCCAAGCCCAACCAGGTGAAAGGCCAGAAGCCCAAGAAGGTGCTCCCCCTGCTCCTTATGCACGGATGGCCGGGAACTGTTCGCGAGTTCTACGACTTCATTCCACTCCTGACCACTCCAAGTGATAAGAGCGACTACGTCTTCGAGGTGATTGCCCCCAGTTTGCCAGGCTATGGATGGTCTCAGGTTAGTTTACCCAATAAATGTAAATTCTTAGACTATTAATAAAATAGTTAATAGATAATAAAAATAAATAGCAGTCTATATTTATTTCCAAATTTTATTTTTTTGACCTCTACTAATATGGTTCCCTTGAGCGCCATAACAAATGTAACGTTTACAAAAACTCTAGCTAAGTAATAATTCACAAATAGAAATCTTTACAACTTTAGGTAATTAGGTATTTCACACTTCATAAACTTGAGTACCTTTTTAATGAATTTCAAATTTCCAGGGCTCTTCGAAAACTGGATTCGGTGTCGCCCAAGTGGCGGTGGTAATGCGCAACCTGATGCTCCGCGTGGGACTCGACAAGTTCCTGGTGCAAGGCGGGGATTGGGGCTCGATAATTGGTTCCAATGTGGCCTCACTTTTCCCGGAGAACGTACTGGGCTACCACTCCAACATGTGCGGCAACAACAGCCCCTTGGGCCAGATTAAATTGTTGTTGTCCTCGTTCTTCCCCAGCTTCTTTGTGGACAGCCAGCACTCGAATTTCTACAAGGGATTAGGACACTTGTTCGGCACCATTCTGCAGGAAATGGGATATGCTCACATACAGGCCTCCAAACCCGACACAATTGGAAACGCCCTAATCGACAACCCGGTGGGATTGGCTAGCTACATTCTGGAGAAGTTCTCCACCTGGACGAATCTCTCGTTTAGATCGCTTCCCGATGGCGGATTGACCAAGCGATTCACCTACGATCAGCTTTTGGATAATGTGATGATCTACTACGTGACCAATTCTATAACTACTTCCATGCGTTTATACTCGGAATCCATGGTGGCTTCGCAGTTTGCTTTGAATGTGGATTCGCTGCCCATTCAAGCTAAAGCAGGATGCACACGGTTCCTGAATGAGATTGTACACACCTCGGACTCGGTTTTGGCCAACAAGTTCCCCAATCTGGTGCACAGCACCCACCATTTGGACGGCGGTCATTTCCCTGCTTTTGAGTTGCCTCAGCAGCTCTACGACGACTTTGTTAGCTTTGTTCAAAAGGCTCAGTTGTAATAAAAAAATTGTTTGTTTATTGAGTTCTGTAAAATTCATTGTATATTTTCATTATCTATTTTAAAGGAACAGCCATGTCTGTTGCCATTATTAAAATAAATCGACTTGGTGATTGATTTTGCCTTATCGGCTTTGAAAACTGAAAGTTGAAGAGTTTTTTGTTTGAGAACTCTGATAAGTGGTCGAGTGGAGAACTAAGGGACAGTTTGTGTTTGCTTTTTAAAGGTAAACATATATAGATAAATCTAAGCTCGCAACTCTATTACGTAATAATGACCAGTTGGTTTGAAGTTGACTTTTGAACACTCTTTATAAAATAGTAAAGAATATAAGAATATATAGTAATAAGAATATTTAATAAGGCAGTTATTTTAATGTTTTTTAGGGAACATGACTTTTCACATAAGTCACAAGGGGTACTATGTTACCCTCAACGAGTTGAAAATAATAGAGGGTTTGCCTACCTAGCTTTAATCTACAGCTGCGACGCAAAATAACAATAATTCCCCTGTTCTTTTTTATATATACCCCACACAACCCCCAGTTTGTTTCACCAAAAAGCTTTAAACGAAAACCGGCATGAAAGCTTTGCCGAGTAAATAAACAAACAAAGCCGAGTCATCCGCGATTTAAGAAGCCGCTACGGCGTCTCAGTGGATTCCAAAGTGGACGCAATGATAAGCCTCAAACGATCGACTGTAGGGCGGTCACCCAAAACCGCTTATCATCGTGAGCAATGATATGTTGGAATCGTCGGAATCGGAGCTGCAATGCCCAGTCAGTTTGAGTGGGACCGCTGATAGCGAAAGATGGGTGTCACGGTTAAAATTCTGGTCTTGCTGCTGGCCATCGGCGGTGGATTGGTCTACAAGAACGTGAGCCAAATATGGGCGGACCTGCCCATTCCCCAGTTGGATCCTCAGGAATGGTGGGGCGATGACGCGCAACCGAAGGATTATGCGGCATATTTGGCCAATAGCTCAGAGGTGATAGGCAACAGGCTTAGTTATCCGGAAAAGGTGAGTTCATATAAATGTATAGGTAATATATTTTGTAGTTATTTAATATCTATATTATTGTTATCAACAGACTATTACTGATCTGAAGAACCGCTTGAATCGCACTCTGCGTCTGACGCCTCCCCTCGAAGGCGTGGCTTTCGAATATGGTTTCAATACGGATTACCTTAAGGAGGTCGTGGAATACTGGCGCGATGATTACCTGCCGCGTTGGCGGGAGCGAGAGGTGTTCCTTTGGCAGTTCAACCACTTCACCACCGACATTCAGGGGTGAGATAAGACGAACCACTTATCATATCCACAGATAGTAAACGTTCGGGTTTTAGGCTACGCGTACACTTTCTCCACCTGATGGTTTATGATGAAAACAAAGTGGGCAAGAATCACTATCCGGTTTTGTTGCTGCACGGCTGGCCGGGATCGGTGAGGGAATTCTACGACTTGATCCATTTACTGCACCAAAGCAACCTGGATGAGAACAACAAGTACATCTTCAACGTGGTAGTGCCCAGTTTGCCGGGCTATGGCTGGTCAGAGGTGGGTTTAATGGTGCATTAATGTATTTTATTATTCTAATAATTCTTCAATCCTGCAGGGAACTTCGAGAAAGGGTTTGGGACCCGCCCAGGTGGCCGTGATGATGAGGAATCTCATGCTGCGCTTGGGCTACGACAAGTTCTTTATCCAAGGTGGAGATTGGGGCAGCATTATTGGCAGCAATATTGCCACCTTGTATCCGGATAACGTCTTGGGTTACCACTCGAATATGTGCAACAACTTGAGTCCTAAGTCCATGGTCAAGGGTTTCGTGGCCGGTTTGTGGCCAAGTTTGTTTGCGCCCTCCGCCTATCATGACTTTTTCTTCCCGAAATCCAATGAACTTAAGTATCTGATGGAGGAAAGTGGCTACTTCCATATACAAGCAACCAAACCGGACACCATTGGAGCCGCACTCACCGACAATCCAGTGGGTTTGGCCGCCTACATCCTGGAGAAGTTCTCCACGTGGACGAATCCCAGCTATCGATCTCTGCGGGATGGAGGACTCACGAAACGCTATAAAATGGACGCCCTGCTCGACAACCTGATGATCTACTACCTGACCAATTCGATCACCACCTCGCAACGTCTCTATGCGGAGCAATATGCCAAGGAGCAGCATGACTTGCATCTGGAGAGGGTTCCCACCAAAGTGCCCACGGGATGTGCGCGGTTTAAGAGCGACATCATGCAGTTCCTGGACTACCAGTTGCAGGATAAGTTCACAAACCTGGTGCACAGCACCTACTACAAAAAGGGTGGACACTTTGCCGCTCTGGAAGTTCCAAACGTGCTCTACAAGGACTTTATAGAATTTGTTAAGACTGTAGAACGCAAGTTTAGAATTAAGACGTTGTAGATTGTTTTTAATAAAAAGAATTCCTTTTCGAAAAAAGCGGCTTTTAGCTATCGATAACATTAGGAAAGGGTTTATCTGGTTTTGATCCTGGACAATCATGGGAAAACTACTTAAGGTATTTATTTATCTTTTTCCAAATGTATAAGAAAGATCCATTTATCAAATAAATAAAATAAATATTTATTTTTACCATATTTTTTCAATTTTTTACTTAGCAAATAGTTTGTTATCTTTGAAATGTACTTTTTAAAATACCAAAAAAGGGTAACTGGGGTATCGCGCTGCTTTCCTGCCATCTCTGATCCTGAACAATTTGCGATCGGAAATCGGAGTTAAAGTAATTGCAAGAATACAAGATATAAGATTGCCTGTGACATAAAAAATAAATCGTTAAATAAAATTTTGTGTGAAAAATAGGCCGGACCGAAAACTCACAAAATCAAATAATATAGCCACCTTTCACAAAAAATCAAAAAGGAAGAAATAAATTTGTAGAACAAAGGATCGATTGAAGGAAAGAAAGAGAAGGAGTAACAGTAAAAGGTTGACATTTTTAACCATCCCAGAAGAACAATGACTGACCTTAAGTTAACCGTGGCATTGACCAGCGTCAATGGGGAGAATATGTCCCGTCACGATATGCTCCAGTGGGTTAACACCATGGTCCAGGGACACTTCAAGAAGATCGAGGAACTCTGCTCTGGTAAGAGTCCGAACTTATTGCCCATTCCGTGGTAAAACGAATAATTTTCCCTAGGTGCCGCCTACTGCCAGATGATGGAGATGATCTTCCCCAACTGCATTAACCTTAAACGCGTCAAGATGACGGCCAAACTGGAGCACGAGTATCTCCACAATCTTAAGCTGTTTCAGGAGGCTTTTAACCGCTTAAAACTGGACAAAACGGTACCCATCGATCGTTTGATCAAGGGGCGTTTCCAGGACAACTTTGAGTTTTTGCAGTGGTTTAAGAAGTTCTTCGACTCGCAGGCACCGGGATTGGAGAACATTAAATCCTTGGCCAATGCACCGGTGATTAAGCCCATCAAACCGCGCGTTTTCGGCAAAGAGCGATCTCCGGTAAAAGCAAACGATGATCCGATGAAGGAGCTGATTGGGGAAATGCAGACCCTAAACCTGAAGAGAGAGGATATTATGGAGGCCAGCAATCAGTGCTACAACAAACTGCGCCTCGTCGAGGATCTAGTGAACGACATGATAAACAATAACCAGCAAGTGGAATTATGTAAACGCATCCAGGCGGTGCTCTACAAAACGATAGATGGCGAGATCAACGAGGAACCCATCGAAATTAATGATGATAATGAAGAGACTGAAGCTGCGGATCCCAATGATGGATTGTACTAGGTTTCTACTGTTGGTACAACGTTGTGTTTTTAATAAATAATGTATTATGTATAAAAAAAATCGCTTGTGGGTTCAGCCGTTGGAATCATTGTCTGAGGAGGAGTAGTCCACCACCAAGCTCTGGGGTTTCGAAGTCGAAGTTGAAGCCACAGTTTCGTCTAACTTTCTGCGTCTTATGCCCAAATCCTGCAGTTGAAGCTGATTGTTTAGCACCTTTTGCCGCTTGAGGCCACCAAAAGTGGTGGCTGTTGCTCCTGGCAGCGCTGGTCGCATCAGAAGCTCCAACCGCTGCTCGGATTCCCGTTCCAGCGCTGACTTGGTCTGCAGCTTCATAAGAGCGGCCATTTCTCGATCCTGATTAGTTTCGGGTAGCAGGGCAATGTCGAGACTACTTTTGGCTAGCAACTGGCGATCCAGCTCCTGCTGACCCTTGATTTCCTTTTTCTGTTCGCGGAATTCGGCACGTAGCCGACAATTTGCCACATAGCTATCATCCCAGACACTCATATTGCGTTCCATCAGCTTCTGGAGCACCGGCTTCGCATCTGCTGCTGACTTGGCATCTTTAGCTTGGTGTTCCAGTTTGTACATAGCATCGTCGAAAAGGCGCTTCTGAACCTCCTTGGTTTCTGGTACAACTTGCTCGTTTTGCAAAGGATCCCAGCGGTTCTCCTGCCGTCGTGCTCCCGAGAGTATCACATAGTCAAGATTTCCTGGGTCCGTTTGAATCTCAAAGTGATTGTCGCACAAGTGGCACTTCATCCGGAACTTGAAGATCGGAGTTGTGTAGTACATTCCAACCTTGGTCTTTTCTGCATTGTAGCGGACACCCATGCCGATGTGGTTCTTGCATCCATCGCACCAAATATTGTAGGGCATCTCGAAACGGATGATGATGATCCCAAGGTGAATCTTACGGGCGCGTTCCCGCAAGGCATGGGTTCCCTGGAACTTGTTAAGGCCGCCCTTCTTCGGATCATAGTCCGGGGGGTAGTATTTGTTCTGACCCTTGCGTTCACCCATTTTTGGAGTATTTGGATAAACTTTTTCTTTTTAATTAAGCGAATGTTAGGACTGTTGTTCCGAAAAGTAAATAACAATTGTTGTGTTTAACGACAGAAGCAAAATGCTATAACATGGCAGAAAACAGCTGTTATTAGCCGCTAGAGGCGGCCCTACCGGCTAACTGAAAACAACTAAGATTGGCTAAAAAAATGATTTTTTATATTTAATATAAGAAAGAAATCTTTTTTCAAAAAATATTACAAATTTTTGACTGCCAAATTTGTCAATTTATTGCTTCACGTTAAAAAAGCGAAATAAAGCCTAAAGTTATCGATAACAACACCAACGGCGTGACAGCTTTCCGATCGGCTCATCGCTAGAATATTAGTTTCTCGTGGGCATCCACAATTTCGTTAGATTATTAACCCTTTTTGCCACGTAAATTGACTTAGAAGTAGCACCCGATCCCGGCAAGATGATAATCTACACGAACGAGGGCAATCCGCTGGGACTTCAGCTGTTGATGCTAGCCAAATTCGCCAAGCGGCCGGTGCAGGTGCAGTTGGTTAACCTAAATGGTGAGCTCTTTGGATTCCAAATTAGTTTCCAAGAAAATCTGCACTTAAGTGACTCATTTCTGATGCAATAACTGTTGTTCATTGCAGATGCCAAGTACAAGGATCTGCTTGTCCTGCCCACTTTGGAATTGGATAATGGGCTGCGCCTGTTTTCGCCGGCGGCCATCGCCAAGTATCTTCTCGTGGACGAGGGGCACCAGCGGCGGGATGAGGTAAAGATCCCAAAAAAGATATTCTTAAGCCATGACCCCTGAAGGTTAAATCAATTTATGTGTGTGCTTCTCCCCGCAGTGGCTGGAGTGGTCTGCCACGTTGCTGGCTCCAGCTTTGGCCCACCACATGGGCGTGGGTCATAAGGCAGATGCGAATGCCCTGCCCGTGCTGAATGGTCTGGTCAAGAAGCTGGACGACAACCTGAAGTCATCGGCCTTCCTGGCTGGCGACAAACTCGGCGCCGCTGACATCGCCGTGTGGTCTCTCCTGGCTCCGGATGGCACTCTAAAGGGTGCTCAGAATGTGGACAGCTTAAGGGATTGGTATGGCAGAATCAAAGCTCTACCCGAGGTGCAAGAGGTCCTGACCGAACAGCCACTGAAGGATCTCAGCTTCAATGCCCTGCAGCAGTCTAATCGGTACGGTGGATTGCATCACGTTCCCCTTAAACGTTCCAGCCTCGCGGATGCAGGCAAGCTGCTGGTGGATACGACGCCCACAGTTGCTGATACTGTAACAGATGAGGAGATCAGCGCTGCACAGGCCGCCTTCACATACACAACGCCTAAGCAAATTAAAGAGGAGCGTACAGTGCTTCCCAAAGCTGGGGAACGCAATGTTCTCATCACCTCGGCGCTTCCCTACGTCAACAATGTGCCACATTTGGGCAACATCATTGGCTGTGTGCTGTCTGCTGATATCTATGCCCGCTACTCGCGTTCCGCTGGCTACAACACCCTGCTGATTTGCGGCACAGATGAGTACGGCACTGCCACGGAAAACAAAGCGTTGGCCGAGAACCTCACTCCTCGAGAGATCTGCGACAAGTACTTTGAGCTGCATAACGCCATTTACCGCTGGTTCGGCATTGGATTCGATTACTTTGGACGCACCACTACTCAGGAGCAAACTGAGTGAGTTTTGAGTTCCCAAACGAAATTCGCTCAACTTAAAAATATTCTTTTTATAGCATTGTCCAGGAGGCCTTTAAGGATGTCCTTAAAGAAGGATACATCATTACAGAGAGCGTGGAGCAACTGCTTTGCCAGAAATGCGATCGTTTTCTGGCTGATCGGTGGGTATATTTATTATTTCATTAGGAGAACCGTCTAACAAGTAAATGTTTTACAGGTTTGTGGAGGGTACTTGCCCACATCCTGGTTGTGGTTACGAGGACGCCCGTGGCGATCAGTGCGACAAATGTGGCAAGCTGGTGAATGCCACTGAGCTGATCCGTCCCAGGTGTAAGGTGTGCAACAGCGCCCCTGTGCTGCGTTCCTCCGATCAGTTGTTCATCGACCTGCCGAAAGCGGAACCGAAGCTCAAGGAATGGGTGGACAAGTCGGAGGGTGGATGGACGCACAACGCAAAGGTCATCACGAGGGCATGGCTGAAGGAGGGTCTCAAACCGCGTTGCATCACCCGCGACCTGAAGTGGGGCATCCCCGTGCCGCACGAGGGCTTTGAAAATAAGGTCTTCTATGTGTGGTTCGACGCTCCGTTCGGTTACGTGTCCATGACCAAACGGTATACCAAGGAGTACCAGCAGTGGTGGCAGCCAGCCAAGGGCACTGACGTAGAGCTCTTCCAGTTCATGGCCAAAGACAACGTGCCCTTCCACTCGGTGGTGTGGCCCAGTGTCCTGCTAGCAATCAACAAGGGTCATACGCTCGTCTCGCACATCATGGCCACTGAATACCTGAACTACGAGGACGGCAAGTTCAGCAAGAGTCGCGGTATTGGCGTCTTTGGCAACGATGCCCAGGAGACGGGTATCCCAGCTGATGTGTGGCGTTTCTATTTGGCCTCTGCCCGGCCAGAAGGTCAGGATTCCAGTTTCAGTTGGAACGATCTGGCTGCTCGCAACAACTCGGAGCTGTTGAACAACTTGGGAAACTTTGTAAACCGCGCCTTGGTCTTCTGCGAAAAGAACTTCAACGGCACTGTTCCCGAAGTGGCCGTCACTCAGGATGAACTTGTCCTGCTGGCTTTGATAAATCGTGAGCTGCGAGGCTACATAAACTCCCTGGAGAAGGCAAAGCTGCGCGATGGCATCCGCCATCTGCTGGCTATTTCCCGTCATGGAAATGGCTACATGCAGACCCAGCAACCGTGGGTTCTGCTGAAGGGCAGCGAAGATCAGAAGAAGCGCGCTTCCACAATAATTGGTCTGTGTGTCAACATTGCTTGCCTCTTAGCGAATCTCCTCTTCCCTTACATGCCAACCACGGCTAGAACTCTCTTTGACCAGCTCAATGCCAAACAGACGCCACTTAATGCTGAGTAAGTGCCTTTTGAATTGGCTTTTAATTCAAAACTAATGGTATGTTTAAACCCAGGAAACCCCTTGCCACTTTGCTACTTCCCGCTGGTCACAAAATTGGCAAGCCCGCTCCCCTCTTTGCCAAACTGGAGCAGGCTTTCATCGACGAACTTAAGGGAAGATACGGCGGAGCTCAGGACTCAAAGACTCCTGCCCAGAGTCAAACCAGCGCTGCAGATTTGGAGCAAGCCGTGCAGGCTCAGGCGGACAAAGTGCGCCAGCTGAAGGCGAGCACCAAAGACAAATCTGTTTGGCAACCCGAGGTAACTAAGCTGCTGGACCTCAAGAAACAGTTGGAGGAGGCTAAGAAAACTCCAGCTGCTGCTGCCGCCACCCCTCCTTCAAATAGTTCGCCATCAGTCCAAGATCTGGAGAAGGCCATCCAAGAGCAGGGCGACAAAGTGCGCAAGCTTAAGGGTAGCACAAAAGACAAATCCGTCTGGCAGCCAGAGGTGAATGTGCTCTTGGACCTCAAGAAACAACTGGAGTCGGCACAAAAGGCAGCCAAAGCTGCACCTCCCGCCACAGTTCCTGTTCCTTCACCCGTCTCCTCTGCTGACGCTGCTCAAGTCAAAGCATTGGAAGACAAAATAGCTCAGCAGGCCGAAAAGGTCAGGACTCTTAAAGCTTCAGGCGATGCCTCAGTGTGGAAACCTGAAGTAGATATTCTATTGGCCCTGAAAAACGAACTGGCGACACTGACTGGAACACCCGCCGCCGGTGGACAGGGAAAGGGCAAGAAGAAGAAGTAGAATTTGCACTCCCGCACTACAAAACGTACTAATAATCCACGCTGGACATTTTTACCTCAACTCTTCTAATCATCCATTCGATGGCAAACTTTAGTCACGGACTGGCACAGTTCTGTTCACCTCTTTTAAGTTATGCTTTTGCATTTACCTTTGTATTTATTTGAAGTACGGCTAAATATTCAGTTAGTAATTTATTGAGTTTGTGAAGAAAAAATTAAAACCATTGACTTTCGAAGAAATTGATGTTTAAATTTCGATAACCCATTAGGTGACGGCTTATCGATAATATGGTTTAGAGATGTGTAGCCCAGCGATTTTTGGCAAATATGGTAAATATTAGCTTATTAGTAAATAATTTCGGTAGCTTGTACTTTAGAGTTGGTTTTTTTTTTATAAATTTAGTTTTTAAATTTATATTGAAATAGTTCTCAGAGTTGTGAAATGCGCTAGTGGTAAACGGGTTATCGCGGCTTAAGAATACCGGTGAAGAAGTCACGGTTATCTAAACATCGATTTTCATTCCAGCTCTATCGCAAGCGAGTTACAGCAAAAAATTTGCCATGTAAATTCAACACAAAAACAAGAGTGCAATATTTAAACAATGTAAAATGTGTTAAAACGGACAAACGTTAGCTGCGGGTAAAGGGAGAAGTAACTGAGAAGTATTAAGTGTTTGGTTTTTCGAAAACAACGAAGGGGGCACAACAACATAGTCTGTCTGTCCCGTCACGAGCCCCCATCCCCCCGCTCCCTTCACTTATCCACAAAAACAGCAGAATATTCGTCATCAGCTGTGTCTCTCTCCGCTCTCCGTTCCCGTCGAATTAACTGCACTTTTGCTGCCAAGAGAGAAAGAGCTGAAATTTATTCAGAAATTTATTTTGCTCCTGCCACGCGACGTTAGCGTTTGCAGTAGAGAAAATCGGGGCACGATATACCCAATATAAATATATAAGGTCAATTGGCAGTGCCTTCAATTAAGCGATAGAAATCCCCGTTTTTCGCAGGTGCTCCGCTTGCCACACTACTCAAATATGCAGCCCATTAAATTTTAAGCTGAAAAAGCAGCAACCTAAATGTGTGTGGGAGTTGAAATTTCAAGGACGCAACATCAACAAGTGTTTGCTAATTGTTTGCCATTGATTATTCACAGAGCTCTGCCATTAAGCCATTAACGAAAATCATCAAACCCAAGCAAACATCAAGAGTTGGGAGCCACTGGCAAAAGACGTCGCCATGGAATCCGCGGACGCACTCGTCGAGGAGCAGAAACTTATGGCCGAGGCCAAGTACCGCACGTATGTGACCAATATTGACAAGGCGCTGCGCAATTTCGAGTACTCCAGCGAATGGGCGGATTTGATATCGGCCCTAGGAAAGCTTAGTAAGGTACAGAAACAGACTTCCCTTTTGGGGTACACCAGATAAGTAGTGAGTGGAACCTCTGAATCACACAAGTTTCTGCGAAAGGCTCTCAGTTCCTTATCTTCAACTTGTTTTTGATTGTATGCATATGTGTTTCCCCTATTTCGACAGGCCATATCAAACAATACGCAGTACCAGGTCATTCCACGGCGACTGAAGATAGCCAAGCGTCTGGCCCAATGCATGCATCCCGCCCTGCCCTCCGGGGTGCATCTCAAGGCCCTCGAGACCTACTCGGTGATATTCAGCAAAACAGGGCCGGAGCGTCTGGCCACGGAGTTTATATATAGGTCAGTGCAATGATTACCAAATCCATGGCGAGCTTAATTATTTTTTATCTACCCCACAGCGCTGGTTTGTTCCCGCTTCTTGGTTATGCGGCAATGAACGTACGACCCGCCTTGCTGGCCATCTATGAAACATACTTTGTACCCCTGGGTGACAAACTGCGTCCGGCTCTAAGTGGTTTCCTTAATGGTGTATTACCTGGCTACGATTGCGGACTAGATCATTTCGAGCGAATAAGCGCTCTGCTCAAACAAGTGTGCAATGCCGTCAATCCCATGCACTTTTACACCGTTCTCTGGGAGTCGGTGGCCAACAATGCCGCTATCCGTCTGCCGGCCATCACCTATCTGCTAGAGCACTTCAACAAGCGGTTGGATATGCAAGAGCAGATCTACATCATGGGTCACAACAGGGAGATTATGATGTCGGCGTTGTGTGTCTGCCTCAATGATTCGCTGATCCTGGTGCAGCGCAATACGCTGGAGTTCCTGTTGCTCGGCTTCCCCATGCACACGGCGCTGCTGAATGAGGATGACTTGGTGAAACTCGTCACCAACGGGCTCAATACCATACTGCGTAGGGACATGTCGCTGAATAGGAGATTGTTCAGCTGGCTCTTGGGCAGCGAGGTGGCCAAGAACTCGCCAACCTATGACACCCTATCGTTGGACACCTCAAATGCCCCTCTGGAGGAGGAGCCTGAACCTTATTTCGTTAAGCACTCGCGTCACATTCTAATCCGCGCTTTGATCACCACCCTGCGATTGAGTTTGGAGTGTGCTCCCATGGACCTGAAGCCCTACAGGATCATGCTGTCACTACTGGACAAGGCGGAGATCGGCAGTGCCGTACTGGATTACGTGCTCCATGACATTATACGGGCCATGTACATCTCTAGTGGGAATGCGGAGGCTTTAAAATCGGCCAACCTACTGTTCGCCACCTTTGACCCGGCTTACATCTGGAGCTACATGACCAATATGTTTGAGAAAGCCTGCCAGCAGGCGAACTCAGCTCAGGAGAAGTCACAAACAGGAGAAACCTCCGGAAAATATGCTTGCGAAGTGGGATCCGGAGACCCCTGTGTGCTGGAGATCTGCGTGCTGACCGAATTCCTGCTGGAAACCGTTTCTCTGGAGATGTACACGGAGACCACCAGGGTCTATCTGCCCAAGGTATTCCTGGCCATCACCCAGCTGCTCTCTCTGCACATGGATCACGTGAGCAGCAACGAGATCACAGCGTCGCTCAAACTTTGCATGAAGATCGTCTCGAGGGTTCAGCCCATGATAACGTAAGCGAAAACGCGAAACAAAGAACCATCAGGCGATCCTTAGTAACCCCCTTATCTCTTTGTTTTCCCCGCAGAAGTCCCATAAAACTGAACAAGCTGATAGAGCAGGGCGGTGGGTCTTCGTCTGATGAAAAAATCACTGTAAATTCGGCGAGTGAGATTGGCAAAACGGATGCCGGAGCTCAAGGCACTTCCCTAGAGAAGAGCAAGTCCGACTCGCGGCTTAATCAGTTTGCTGAGAACTCGCTGCACGGCACGGATCCAAATGACGAAGATCTCATCCGGCGGTCGGCGTCCAATCAGAGCGTGGGACGTCACAGTCCCAACAAGAAGAAGGCCAAGTCAATTTCTCGACTCTCTGAGTTGGATAAAGATGTAAGTATCTTTGGTGGAAATATCTTATCTTTTATTAATCATTTCTTGACTATAGATTAGCGCCTCCGATACTGGGCAGCAGTCGTCATCGGATCTAGACACCCCGCGGAGCATCAAGAAGCTCAAGGCCAAGGCCAAAGCTCCGTTTATACGCAGCCCAAAAAAACAGCGGCCCAAGGATATTGTCCTTGTTCAACCAAACGCGCCAGCGGAAGTGGGAGATGGCGTTAGCGCAGAAGAGCCAAAAAGCGCTCCGCCAGATCAGTCGCCGCAGTTCCAGCTGGATGAGGAGAGCCGGGCCACCCAACAGCGCGGATTCTCCATTCTGGAGAAGTGCATCCGCCAGTACGAGATCTTCTTCGAGGTTTACTTGGCCCGCAAGCTGTTGCACATTGAATCTGAAGCGAAAGAGTGCGGCGTGAAAGTTCAGCTGCAGCGAACCACTAGCACCTGTCACACATCCAATCTTTTTATGGTGGAACAGGTGCTGGAGCACGAGTGTCCCGTAAGGGAGTCACAAATCGAACGACTTTTTAACTTGCTCCGCGTGGACATTGTGCCGCGTTCGAAGCAGCTGCAGCGCCTGCTCAATAGATCCTTGCCGCTGCCCGCCAGCGCCAGTGAGCTAAGCAGCGACAGCGAAGCGCAGGAGGAGAAGCAACAGAGCCTGCTCATTGACGGGCAGACCCAGCGAAGTGTGCAGCAACTGGCCGAGCTCCAGTTGAGCCTCTCCCTGCGTGGAGCTATTAAACTGGCGGCGACTCTGCTGGTGGAGATGTCGACCTTTCCCAACTGCAATAAACACATTGTGTTGGACAAAAACGGTGAGTGGCTTTAGAGCTCATTGTTAGAAAACCGATTGTTAAATAATCACGGGTGTTTTGTCATTGTTCTTTTTTCTTGTGACTAATATTAATTGTTTTATTCGTATCAGAACCTGAGCTGCCCAACTGGTTAAAGGTTCTGTGCCTGGTGGCGTGTTTTGCTCAAAGTGACAAGGAATTGCAGGTGGCTTCCATTACCACGCTCTTTGATTTAATAAGGTTGGTGAAAATTAAATACCATTTTGATGAGTACAATTCACTTTATAACGTCTGCCTGCTTTTCAGTCTACTGCGCTCCCAAATCGAGCACACGACAAGTCCGGGAGTCACCTTCGTGGTAATGCTACCGCTTCTAAAGTTTGGCCACGTCAGCTACATGGAGCAGCACACTCGCGTCTTCCAACTGGTGAGCTCCATTCTGTGGGATTACCTTGGAGCCGCGGGCATAGACCCTGCCCAGATTGCAGCGCTACTCCATCAGCTGCACAGCTGCCTGGAAAGCGGTTTGGTGGAAACGGTTATTGGAAACCGAATGCAGGCGCAGCATTTGCTTCAAATCCAGCCACAATCCCGTACAGAATTGAGCAGAACTGCTTTGCGCAGCTACCAAACTGAGCGGCTGGCGGAAGCTCAGCTTCTCTGCCCCACGGAATCCACGGAGAGATTGAGAGAGAGCCAGGCACGAAGCTTCAAGAAGTTCGAGCTGTTGTGGCATCTGGGCAGAGACAAGCAGACCACGCGTGGATTTGAGAAGACGCTGCTGAAAGTGTTGGACACCCTCGCATTGCCACATTACATGTCCGAGCGTACTTTCGTGACCAATTGGCTGCAGGCATCCCTCCTCCGAGGAGATCTCGCCCGCCTGACCAAGCCTCTCTACAAGATCCTCCTCTCGGCAAGCTCCAAGCGCGTGGGAATCGTCCACATGCAACAGTTGTACCGCGAAGCGGATGCCGAGGCAACGCCTGCTTTCGAGCGGGATGTGTACGCCATCAGTTCGGAGCAGGGCAATGTCAAGTACCATCACATGGAGACGACCAGCGGGGGCAAGAAAAAGAGCCCGATCAGGAACTTTCCCAAGAAGATCTTTGGGGTCACATTGAGTGGTGGGAAGGCCAACAAGGTGTCCAACTTTGTGAGCGACAAATCAACTGTGGCCGCTTGCAATGAGGCAGCACAGGATGTGAACACCATCGGCCTGATCATTAATCCACTCGAGAATGCAAACGATTTTGACGACGAGACGGATTTGGAAGAGCCCCGCATCGAGATTCCGCACAAGGAGACGCCGCTGGAGCAGAAACTGGCCAGCGCCATGGACGAGAGCGAACAACCTTCGCAGGAGCAACCACCGAATCCACCGGATCAGAGTCAATACGACCAGGACATAACAGACCATTCGGACAGCAGCGACTTCGAGTCGGACTCGGAGCTTCGCGAGACGAGCCTGGAGAAGGAGGATAGCCTCACAGTCAGCTCGAGTGCTGGAGTCAGTGATGATGTTAAGCGTTTCGTCGGCGACTGTGAAAGTGTCACCGAGGCGTTGACCCAGCACGAAAAGATCAAAAGCCGCAAGACCTATCGCTTGACCAGGGAGAAAACCCCGGGAGAATCCAGTCTCAACTCTCTGGAGCAGAAGGACCAGGATCACCAGAGCATCCCCGACCTGCAGGCAGATGCTCTGCCAGCGGATGAATACTTTAGGGAAGACAAAAAGCTGGGCAAGCGGAAGAAACTCCTAACTGCTGGCGACAAAAAGCGACTCAGTTGTATTTCCAAGACCTCCACGGACAGCAACCTCAGTGGCTCCCACGTGGAGCAAGCGGAGCAGGAGGATGAAACAGAGCCTGGAACCGAATCCACCATTAATGTGGAGGACAAGCGACGTAATCTCAGTTTGGAGACCAGCAAACTTCAGCCTGATATGCAGAAGACCCTGGAGAAGGGTAAACAGAACGTGGAGATCCTGCGGCAGAATAATGCAGCTGCAGCGGCGGCGGCGGCAGCAGAGGAGCAAGTCAGTCTGCGCAGCTCGGTGAAGAGCAGCGTTTCCCTGACGGATGCCGCCCACCTGTACCACAACCACCTGTTGATCTACTTGGCTATTTACGACACACGTCAGACTTTGTATGCTTTGCAGACGCTTCGCAATATAATCTGCTGCGACCGCCGCACCTTCCTTTGCCTGTCGATAACCACATCCTTTTCGAGCTCCAGTCTGAAGCAGTTGCTCGTGCGTCATCGCAAGAGCATTTCCGGCAAAGGATTCGATGGCGGAGTGGGCAGCTCTGAGTACGCTCAGGGATATCGCGGCTGCATGCAGCTGGAGCTACTGGTCACGCTCTGTTTGTTCTACGCCCGTGGATACTTCCAGAAGGAATCCCAGGACGCCCAGCGTCAGCCGCCTACGCTGCAGGATATTGTGAACAACCGGAGGATCCAGCTGGAGAGCATCGAACTGCTAACGCTGATCTGCTCGGAGCTCATTGAGATCGTCAAAGGAATGGGCAAAGGACTAGCCAACTATATCGCCGATTTGTTGGCCCGCGCCAAGCTGCAGAAGGTGATGCTGCACTGCCTCAACAGCTCAGTGTGCAGTTACGGCCGAAGAGCAAACTCCAACAGCGGGAGCTATGCGGAGCAAGTGCTGAGCTTCAACGATCCGCAGGATGATCAGTTGCATGCGGACTGCTTCCAGCTCCAGTTGCTGCGTTTGCTGTTGGCCGTAATCCGCCTGGAGCACGAGGTCCACCAGCTGCGGCAGGATACGCCGCCTGCTGCTGGCGAGGACTCTGCCGGCAATGCGTCGCCCACTCGCCTGGCGGAGGGAGCGGCAGCCAATGTGAAGTATCTACCCAATTGTCTGATCAGCCAACAGCCCATGTTCCTAGCCGCCGTCTTGGGTGCACTGCAGCAGGAACGCCTGCGTCACCTGCACCGCAACTGGACGGATTTGGTGACCTCCTCGCTCAACTGCTTCTCCTTCGGCTCACTCACGAATATTGTGATCAGCGTGGTCCATCAGCTGTGCAGTAATCTGGATCGGCTGGCCAAGATGGGCCTCCCCCAGCAGCGACACTTCCCGCCGGACTATGTGGTCTCCCAACTGGAGGCACTGACCATCCTGTGCCACTACTGCTTGCTGGACAATACGCAGCAGACGGCGCTCTCACACCTGTTCAATCAAGCTTACCCGCAGACCAGCTCCTCGGCGCAGAGCTCCAGCACGGGTCAGTTGCTCAACAGCATCGTACATTCCTTCCTCTCGGCCAGCGAATCATCCACCTCGGCGCCGGCACCAAGGAACCCTCAACTGCAGGCGGCACGCAATGCCGTCCTCTCGCATCTCCCGCGGATCATGAGCAGCGTGGCTGCCATTTGGGACAGCGAACTGGGTCAACTGCGCCCAGTGCGCCAGCAACTTCTGGAGTTCCTTTCGCCGGTGTCGCTGCATCATGGATGCAACTTCTTGGCGGCCGTCGCTGTTACCTGGCAGCAGCGGGGAATCCCCTCGAATATGAGTGGATTAAGCATCGCCGAGCAGTTCCAGAGGAATTCCACGCTGCAGGCGTGTCCCGCGCAGCTCTCGCTGGTTTCCCTGGTCTCCAGCATCCGGGTGATGCCCATGGACTCCTTCGTGATGACGCTGCACCACGTAGTGCGCTCCCCGCCGCCAATCCACCGGCCACCTGCCCAGCTCAGCATCGAGGTGAGCTCCCTGGAGCTCTTCTACTTCTACATGAAATCGGCTCCTGCTCCCCAGTTAGCGGATGCCTGGAGCTCACTGTTGGCACTCATCCGGGATGGCTTGAATCTGACACCGCCGGCGCAGTTCGCTTTGCTGATGCTCCTGAACGAGTTCGTCCAGCGTTGCCCGCAAATGCCGTTCCAGGACAAGAAAGAAGTGCGGGAGCTGCACGATGTGACTTCCCGCTTGGTGGATTCTCTCTCCAGCGTGGCTGGATCCTGCCTAGAGCAGACCACCTGGCTGCGTCGCAACCTGGCCGTAAAAGAAGATACCGATGGGCTGGCCAAGGATAACAGCGTCGGAGGCGGCGGACTTCAGCAATATTCTCTGCAGGCACAGAGCGTACTGGCAGCCATACTGTCCAATCTACTGGACGTGGCATACGGTTCCCAGGAGAAGGACAAGGTGGTCAACATAGTGACGCCACTGCTGTACAACATCACTCCCTACTTGAAGAACCACACGGCGCGGAATGTTCCCTTTTTCTACGCCTGCTCCGCTCTGTTGGCCAGCTTGAGTGGCTATCAGTACACGAGGAAGGCGTGGCGCAAGGACATGTTGGACCTCTTGCTGGACAACGCCTTCTTCCAGATGCACGTCTCCTGTCTGCCCTTCTGGCGCATGATCATGGACAGCCTGATGACATACGACAATACCACGTTCCGGGAGCTCATGACCCGCGTCTCGCTTTCTCAAGCAGGCAGTCTGAACATCTTCACTTCACGGGATCAGGAGTACGAGCAGAGGGCCATGCTGCTCAAACGGCTAGCGTTTGTCATCTACTGCAGCGAGTTTGACCAGCACAACAAGTACATGCCAGACATCCAGGGTGAGAAATTAAACTTTAATATACTTACTGTAGTATTCTGTACTTTAGCAGAAATTCGTGGATGTAGGTACTAACTTTTTTTATTTTCCCCCAGAGCAATTGGCCAATAGTCTGCGACTGGTTCCCATGGGTCCTTCCGTGCAGGCCGCCGTTTTCCTGTGCTTCCGCGTGCTGCTCCTACGCATGTCACCCGATCACGTCACCTCGCTGTGGCCCATAATCATTGCGGAAATGGTGCAAGTGTTCCTCCAAATGGAACAGGAACTCAAATCGGAGAGTGAGGAAAGAAGGTAAGTAAATTCAACCGGTTGATAAGACCTTTTCATTAATTAAAAAACTTGAAAACGCCTTTCCTGTAGCCAACAAATGCGCATGCCCTCAGGAATTGATGTATCGTGGTCATCGGCTTCTGGAGCGAGCAATGGCTACAACTCGCAGACGCCGATGCAACATTGGCGATCCGTACAGTTGGAAGCGTGTAAGCTGCTGGAACTGGGGTGCGTGCTGCCCGCCACCAAGCTGCCTCACTTCCAAATGTATCGATGGGCCTTTGTGGGCACCGAGTTCGACGTGCACGAGGAGGAGGTTCGCCTGCCCAACGGAAGCCTAGAGAACTTGGCCACCTTGCCCACTGCGCTCTACGTGCCGCATGTGAGGCGAGTGGCCAGGCTGATGGACATGAAGTACACCAGTCAGTCGCCGGTGAGTCATTCGCTTACTATTTATATACCTAAACATGATTAATTAATCATTTTTGGACTTTCTGTAGATATTGCAACGTCCCAGCAATCGACACCTGATGCTGCATTTCCAGCAACTGCAATCGCTACAGGAGCTGTACGCCTTCTTTACCACTTTGGGCATCAGTTGCCCGCAGCCGCGCAACTTCGCCGACACGGAGAACGATGTGGCCAACTGTTTGCAGGAGATCGAGGAGGTGCTGGCCAACGATTTCCTTGAGAAGCTGCCCAGCATAACAACGCCAAGATGAAAACCGGCCGTTGCCCACCGGCAGACACAGTCGCAGATCCAAGCGATTGGGTCGCAGTTCGAGCTCAAGCTGAACCTGAATCTGAATCTGGGTGTGGAGTCTGCCATTGAGACGACGGGCAGTGCCGGCCAGGCAGCCCGCATCCTGGCCGCCGTGCAGGCCAAGCTAACCAGCCAAAATGCCGAGACGAGCTTCACGCAGACCCAAATCACGAATAACAGCAGCAACAATAAGAAGACCAACTTTCCATTTTATGTCTAAGTAAGGAGGAGATGAATCCGGATTCCGGAGACGATGCCCCGAGTATGATAGCTAGCTATATAGATAGATGACTGCGACGCGCATATAAAATGTCCGTAGTAGCGTGATTGATCGTTTTAAATGTTGAGTGTTTAAAAACGCGGTAGCCCAATAGCCAAAAGCGCCCTGTATGTATGTATATGTAACCAATGTATTTAACTGTTGATAGTTGCTCCCGAATCGATGTGAATAAAAGATGTGTTTAACGACAAACTGCAATTCAAATAAACAAGCGCGTTTTATTGAAACGGGGACTTCCCCCAACGAACAGTCTAGCAGTTAAGAACTAAATCACATTCACTGTGCGTGGCGAATTGCTGTCCTCACGATTCTTAAGCTGGAGGTAGTGGGAGTACACAAGACGGGCGCTGAAGGCAATAAGTACTGAAATTGTATTGGCGACTTTTAGTCAGATGGCTTTATAAATGGCATAGGAATACTTACAGAAATTAATGATGTAGATGATCAAGGCGCCAAAAATGTTGTTAAATCCAGTAGCCTCACGATATCCGCCGTAGTGGAAGATAACACCCAAAACGGCGAACGGAAAGCTGATAGCTTCAATCGCGGCGAAAATCAACCAAACTATGAACAGCTTTGGCTTTTCCTGAAATTACGGGATTTATGTTGCGGTTGGTTTGGGAAGCTTTTTTCTGAGTTAACTGTATATGTATTTACCCTCTGAGTGCCGATAAGTAAACAAACATTTGCAACAACAACAATTGCAAATCCAACAAAGTTGAGTACTGAAATGAGAATCATATATGTATATAATTTATTTTAGGTTTGTACCAAAGGTAATATAAATTCCGGTTTGCAAATTAACCAATGTTTAAAATTGAAAGCTTGTATAAAAAGTAAAATATTCGTAACGCCTAAGACATCGATGACATAATTTTTCCATGTATGGAACCATATTGAATGTTATTATTAGGAAGTCAAGACAATAACTTTTTTATATTTTTAATCTCTCTTCATATACTCTGGCTTTTATAATACGATTAGGGTGCGTGAACCAAAATAACCATGAAAAATATAAGTACAGTACAGTAAAACATTTAGTTTAAAACATAAAAGCTTGATGAATGGCGTGAAAATTGCCCCTAAAGTTTGTTTCCAGTTGAGGAAAATTCTACTCAGAAATTGCGGAATCTGGGAAATTCGCATGTATCTAGAATAAACACGAGCTGGAAGTCGTCACCGATGTCGTCATCCAAACAAGTGATGTATTCAAAATGTTTTTGTAAAACGAAACGCGTTTTGCTCGAATGGATTAGCTCATGGTTTTTTTTGTCTAAATGCTTTTGTATATGTATGGTATTATGCTTTTAGAAACAAACAATTGCCACGCCTCGAATTTCTTTTACCGTTTGGAGCGACTAGTACGCTTAATGTCATGCTAACTAGCCAGTAGATCGCTATTCCGAGACACCAGCTACGGAGATCCGAGTTGCACGGTCCATTATCCACCACAAGATCTATCTTCATTTTGGGATTTTATATTGTTTTATCAAAGGGAAAACAATATTATGGCACTGAACCGGTTTGCGAGAAGTAAGCGCACGGAAACACGACCGAACTGGGCAAGAATCAAAAGACAACTGAATCTGTTAAGTCGTGCTCTCTGAGAAGCAACAGTTGGGCAAAACTGAGCAACAAAAGTTTGTTTTAAATCTTGTAATTTAAATGTGAAAAAAAGGTTTTCTGCATAAATATTAATATTTTTTAAGTTTTAAATCAAAAACTCAAGAGCTTTTTATACATGTCCTTAAATTACGTAATTTTGGTTGAAAAGGTCATTGGTTTGGTAGGAAGGGCTTAAAAGTAGACAATTCTTTGATTACGTAAAATAGTTAAGGTATTGGAAACGATTAATGATTTCTATAAGCCCACATAGATAAGATTCCATAGCACAAAATTTAATAGCTTCTGGTTTGATTACGATTTTAAAAAATGATCCTTCAAACCATTTAGAAATATGGTTTTTCATTTTATTAACACAACAAGATACACAAAACCGTGACACCTGTTGCGCAGTGTAAAAAAATTAATACAACTAAAGAGATGAAAGAGTCAGACAACATAAAACAGAGTGTGCATAAAGTCATCTCATTTTAAGCAAAAACAAATAGCAGGTTACATCTTTTTATTTACGGTTACTTTTTAAACGTTTTGCAGCCCTGATTGTGTGACTGTTTCTACTGAGTTGTCTTGTAGTTTTTGGAATTTATAAAATAAAATGGGTAGATTAGATTATTTCTTTAAAATGTTTGTGTTAGACTAAATAGTTTTTAGTTATGTAAATACATAATAAAATTTTAAATGATAATTTAAATACAAAATAAAGTGAGATATTGTAAAAATTGTAAAGTGATCTGACACGGGGCCTGTCAGATCAGAACTGATGGAATGCAATTGACTTATAAGAAAGGTTGTTGTGACTTTTGTTAAAAAAAAACATCACCAAAAACTTTGTTCTTGAAAACTTCCTTTTTTTTTAAGATTCACAATTCTTTTTTTATGTCAAGTTTATAAAAGTATAATGAGCTACATATATGTCTGCAGATAATTTTGAATGCATCTTTTTGTGTGAAGATATGTTTACAATTTTTGCCAGAATTTTTTTTTTATAGACACGGCTTAGAAAGTAATTATGAAAATCGATCTTCGTTTTCCACACCATCAGTTAAATGTAAAAAACAATGTCAACACAGGAAATAATTGGGCTTGCGTGAGTTACTGGTACCTCAAACATCGATAGTCGCCGGGAAACACCGATGTTTCCACCTCTAGTAGTCAAATAATTGCGACTTACATTTTATATTGCAATTGCATTTCTGCAACGCCGACAGACTAAAGCGGTTTGATTTTTTTTATCAACAAATAGAGAGGAAGTCCCGTTTCCATCGAAGATGTTGAACTCCGTTTGCTGCATGCGCCTACACACCTACGGTGTGGTTATCGGATGGCTGGGCGCGATTTTCTCCTTTTTGGGCACGATCCTTGTGTCCGTGGCCTTGGGATTCGCCGATGAAATTGCAAAGCAGATCGTTGAACAAAACCCAAGCAGTAATCTTACAGTTGATAGTGTTCGCAGTGGTAAGTATTATTTCACAATAGCAACGCTCAATGAAATTAAGTACTGTTTTTATGGTTTCTTTCAGCGCTTGTCATAGTATTATGTATTTATCTTGGGTTGACGGTGATTAATCTTCTGTCTTCGACAATGTTGATTGTAGGAACTGTTAAGGTGAGTCTAAAAAAATTATATAACGGCTTCCTTTGCCCTTACAAGACAGAAGAATCCATTTTAATAAGTGATACAATTCTAGCAAAAAAAATACTGTTCACTGAATTGCTAAATCTTCATATAAAAGCAACATGTGTGTCAGTTTGTTTCTACAAGTATCGAACGTTTTGTTTTTGATTTCAGGAACGCCATCTCCTCCTGCTTCCTTGGCTAATTAACAACGGAGTGTTGATGGTCTTTGGAATTATAGCCAATATTACCATTTGGGCACAGATGATTGGATCTTCGGTGCCCGCATCAAGTGTCATACCAATGATTTTGCCGACAATTCTTTCTCTCGGTAAGCTTAACGTGACTCAGTGACGGATTTACGGGGATTACATCCCCACCTTCCCCCTCATTCCCGAGATTCCCGAGATTCCCGAAATTCCATAGACTAGATTTACACAGAAAATTTTTTTCAATCCACCGCTGAGGTGACTCATTGTTTTTTATATAATGCATGTGGGAAATGGGTATACACAGCCTTTGTTGCGAAATTGTGGTTCCCCATTGCTCTTATCTGCGATCACTCTGTAATTACAGTCGCACCCAATGAACCCTGTTCTCTATTTGCTCGTTTCAGCACTCTCGATTTATCTGTACTATGGTGTTTACTCGCTCTTCAAGAAGATCCAGGCCTCCAGTGAGCTCCAACGCCCACTGATCCCGCCGGCAAGCCAGCAGACAAACTCCTATCCCAGCTACACCAAGATCTGAGCTAGAATTTGAGTCCCTTTTGCTGCATTGTATACCTTTCGAATATTTAAAGTGGAGCTTTCTTTATATCGTTTCTTTATATTTACAACGGATTTCAGTGCTTATATTTGCTAGTTATACCAAAATTATCTTGTGTTATCGATGCAGCAAAGGAGAGACATTTTATATGTATGAATGCACATACATACAACGAATTCTTGTACTCTTTTTGATTAAATGTAATCCATTTTGCATGCTTATACATACATATATAAACCCACCCACGCTTGGGTTTTATTTTTTGCGTATTTAATTTCTGAAGTGCCATTCTACGAGTGGCTCTGAAAGTATACATATTTATGTGATAACAAACGACTTAGAAAATCCAAATTTATAACATTTTCAAAGTTTAGGACTGCGGAAGCTTTATTGATACAAACCGTTTTGCTATATATTGCTTATTTATCTGTCGTGTCTGGGTTATATATCTAAGCCTTACAACAAAATAAAAAAAAATTGGAACATCAAAACTCAGAATTTTAATTGGTTGGGTCGCCACAAAATGTTATCTTTTCACGTTTAGGGAACAGAGTAATTCAGCTTTTTTATATTTTGATAATCAATAAATTTAAACTAATTCTGAAGTAACAAGTTGCGCTATTCAAAACATCAAAAAAACAATTTTCAAGTCACTGCAAATATATAAAATCGTAGGAACCTGAATATTATATATATATGTCATATATTTTTCAATCCAAAGTAATGTAAGCAGAATGAAATAATTTGAATTTTATCAAAAACGTTGCTTCATGTACATAATTCAAATTTAAAATACCGATGTAATCGACTTCAAATAAGTATTGATCGTTATCGGTTTCTTTAACAACACAGGACTTATCGTCAGGGCTTCCATTCACTACTTAAAATTGAACTAGTTCATGAATCAATTCGCAATCACAATTTTCGATAGCAAGAGTCATCGTTTTGATTCCATCTCTGATTTTGATTTCGTGTTAAAATATACAAAACTCGAGTTAATCGATACTGATCCGGAAAAAATATATGCACAACGGTTACGGTTACGCGGAGAGGATATGCAGTGCTAATTAAGTGTAAGCATCAAAATAATTGCCGAAGTGCAAAGAAAAATTTTCGGGTGCCAAAGAATCTACACACACACGCAATTCGAGCACATACATATGCTCACAGACTCAGCGCAGTTGTGGGAAATGTGCAAATTTGATCAAAAATCCTCTTGAAAGTAAATAAGCAGAGCTGTAACACCAGTGAAAAATGAAGTGAAATAATCAGATTAGCGCCGTGAGCTGCTGAAAATGGCAAGAGCAAGGCCAAAATACTGAAAAAACGTGTGCAATTTTGCAGTGCTTTTTGGCTGTGTATATCGTTGTGTTCGTTTAGCTGAGGAGTGTAAAAAATACATAGGTGTATACATAGGTGTCCCTGTACGTGTGCCAGCCGCCAACAAACCACACATACTCACGCACACAGGAGCAAACGTAACCGCAGTCGACGCTGGCAGAGAAGGGAGAGCAGAAAGGATGCTTCCTGGCAGAGAAGAGAGAGCAGAAAGGATGCTTCCTGGCCAAAATGTGGATGCTGTTCAAAAGCTCACCCAAAACCTCAAACCCCTTCTTCTTCAAATAGTCGAACAACTTTTCACTTTTCGCCCGCTTCAGTTGTTGTTTTTTTTTTGCCTTTTGACTGCACAAACATGCATACCCATACACACACACCGACAGATGTTTTGGTTTTATTCTAGCTATTTTGGGAAGAACAAAGGTGATCAAGAGAGCCAACCGGCATCAATGGGCTTTCGTTATTTGTTTGCTTAATTTATTGAGTTGATACTTTTATCTGATAACCACCACCCATAAAAGTCGCCAGCAACAAAATGTAAAGCGGCTCTTATCGCCAGATTCCCGCAAAGTTATGCAAAAAAAGGTCACCAAAATATATACAGCAAATTACCGCATTTTATCAAAGTTCTTTAGCCTTTGTTGCGCGTACAATTTTTTGCCCTGTCGTTGTTGTTTTCGTTTTTGTTTTTGTTTTGTGGCTTTTCTAAATGCGATGAGCGCAGAGTCTTGCCGTGTATTTGTGCACTATGCGTGGGAGTATGTCAGTCCGATCTCGTTTTTGGCCATCGAAATGCAATTGGGAAAGTGTGAAATAAAAGAGAGCGGGAGAGAAAGAAACAACTCTGGCAAGAGCAGAATAACTTAATGAGCTGTCGCTTTTGTTGGTAATACGCCTTCCAAACTTTGGTTTCTTTAACGTTATGCTCGAAAATTTTGTTTCCAATTCGTTAATGATTTCGCCATAAAAAATGTTTGTTTTATATTTTTAAAATTAAAAAATTTAGTTCGGCTTTAAAAGTTTTAAAACAGGAAACAATTCCGACAATCTTATTGCCAGTTATTCATACTCATTGTGCCTATAAAATTTTACGACATAAATTGTTTGCTGGTCTAATAGATTTAAGGTTCTACAAATTTAACTTTTACCATAGCTTGTGGTAAAAGATTTCAGAAATCGAGTGGTAGATGATTTCAAAATTGACTAGTATAATAAATCAATACAATAAACGCAATGGAGATAAATGATAAACAAAATGTTGATATTAAAGTGCCATTCAAGTTGGGTGCAAAATAAGAAAATCTTTATGTTAATTATGAATTTGACTTCGACGCAAACAGGCATTCCAAAATGGCGGATAGGAACGCAGACAAGCAAACAGTTGGACAAAAAGGAAGCTTATTGAGCATTCAGGTGTCCATTTGTGGTCCATCACAGGAGGAGAAAGAGAAACCGAAAAAGGAACAGGACAATCGAGCAACAGCGCCAGACGTCATCGCCAAGCGGAGCTTCCTCTGCTGCTGTTGCCATTTGTTTTTGCTGCCATGTGGCCATGCGATGGATGCGCTCCACTTTTGGATGCTATTTATAAACCTTTTCACCCGTATACATACACACAACAAGGATGCCAGGCCAGTGATTCTGCTCTGCTTCCTTGAAATCTGCATAGTTCCGCTTCCGATTGAGTTTGGCGCAGTCGCATTGGCAGTCCGTTCCAAATCCATAACCATATCCCATATCCACAACCATATCATCATCATCCATCTTGTATTGGCGCAACAGAGCCATGTTCCACCGAATTTACCGGGCAGCATCCACATCCACATGTTGAGAGGTAGTGGGCACAGTACACTTCCCCCTTCGTCCTCTAACAGAATCCCGTTACGTCCCTCAATTCCCACACCCCAAAAAATCTAGATTGCATTGATTTGTTTGTGTAGTGAACGAGTGAGTGTGCGTGTTTTCTGTCTGCACTTGTCCTTTTTTGGATATTTATCACTGATAAATATTAGTGATTCCCATTCAGTAAATCTGGATTTTATATGGGCTTATAAACTTATTAGGGTTCGGGGTTTACAACAACATCAGGTTTATTGATTTTGGCTGATATGAAATACCTTTCTACTATCTATTTCCCCAAATTCTTTTTTATATTCTGCGATTTTTTGAAAAAGATATTCATTCGAACCACATTTATGTATTGCCTTGTTTTTATCGAAAATAAACTCTTTAATTAGCATGGAAAGCTATTGTCAGAAAATTTAAAGTCATAATAAAATACTTTATTTCCGCCAATCTGCAGCGATTTTCAGAGCCCCTTAGTGACACGTATCTGAGTACACACACCTCTGTAATACAATCACACTACAGGTGTGCTTTTAACGCTTTTTAAATCTCTCAGAAGCTCATGCATATCTTCATGCATAAGCAATTTATTATTGACAGACTGTTCTGAACGGTTTGTTTTGAATAGTTTGGTGTCTTTTCTCTAGTTAAGGAATTATTTATGAAAATATTCGAATTCTTCATTTTAAGAGCGTTCTAAATATTTATGCATTCGGTCGAGGAAAAGCAATTCAGTTTTGATTGTATGTGTGTATAGGATTCGCCAAAATCACACCGACTACTAGTATATATGACTCATGGCTGTCAAACTATCTTGGTCTTCCAAATAATGTTTCACAATAGTCGTAATTGTAACATCACTTAAATAAGTTGACTTGTAAAATAAGTCTTTCATTAGGCAGGTTTTAAAAATTATTACTTTGCTTCACTGGCTGACACTGCAGCTTCTATTATATTATCCTCATTGACTTGGCATTGGCAACCGTATGTAGTTCTGGTGTTAGAATTTGGATATCTTTCAAATTTTGAACTTGCCTGTCCGCATTTCAAACGCCCGCACTTGTGTAAATACGCGACCAATGCAGAACAAAGCGAAAGTGCAATCAGAAGAATAGCAGGCCTAAAAATAACATTTTTGTTCTTACTTATTATAAATTGCTGATGCTTTTAAATAGGAGTAGTGGCATTTGGTCAATTTCGGCTGAGAATTCAATGCCAAGAAGAGGATTGGGCGCGTTTTCTCACATACTTTCGTCTTCTTTTCGCTCTCGTTGTTTGAAATCTCTCATACTCATCACCCCTTTGTCTTTGTGTCATATGTTTGCAGTGTGAAAAACGAAAAGCCGGCTCAGCAGGAGGCGAAACACATTTTCCAAACGCATCAGATGTAAATGAGATGCCGTCGCGCCGGCAGCAAGGGCAGCAGCAAGCAAAACCACGCCGACATCGCCACCGGAAACATCAGGAGCCGCTCCAGCAGCATCTGATTATCAAGTGAAAAGTGGAGTGAAAGATTCGATCCGTTCGATAAAATTCTTAAGTGGATAGGATAGAAAAGGGAAAAGCGAACTAATCTAGGGGAGACAGGGATATCAAATCACTCTTGGCGGAGGACACAAGCCGCGCATCCAAGATGAAGCGGCGCAACGCGGATTGCGGCAAACTTCGGCGGCCGATTAAGCGCAACAAAATCACAGAGGGCATGTACGGCAGGTGAGTGCTATTATCTATTTAATCAACTACTTAAATTAATACTATCAAGAACTGGTTGATTACAAAGAAAAGTCCAAGACTTTGGCCTAACAAACTCACTGATAACTTTCTTATGTAAGGCATACGAACTTATAAGTAGTTGTTCAGTTAACAAATATTCCAGTGGACATTAACATTAAATGTGAAAAAATTGAAGAATCACGCACTATAAGTCTGCAGTCACTTTTGTCAGCGATTACAAAATCTCATGAATTTTGTCACATCCCATTAATTTAATGTTTGTTATCTCACGATCAAGACGCTTCTTAATTGAGGTAATAAAGATACTTTTCGATTTATTGACATGCGAACTGCCCCCCAAGTCAACTTGATGATTATCAGATTTCCTGAGGCGCAAGAGAACGACCACAAAATTCCGAGAGTGTTCTCATGTGGCTGAAATGGTTCTCCTCGCCTCTGCGCTTGCTTTCTTATTATTTATACGATTGTTTACTTTTTGATTGCGCCTTATAGCTGTTGTTTTATGGTGTTATGCATGTATTTATTTGGACGCTACTCGTTTTTGGCATTTTACCCGCCTCTTCGCGCTTCTGTTTTGTTAGATTTGTTTTTTCTTTTCATTTTTGACGCTGCCTTGGCTAATCTTGTTAAACTTTTTGTGTGCTGATCTCCTCCGAAAGTCCGAAAACATGTTATTCAATATTTATTGTTTATATTTTGTTATTTAAGGGGACAAAAAAGGGTTCCTCGATTTGAGTCAAAACGTTTCTAACGATTGAAGAATTTTGTTATTCCACACATTTAAGCAAATTAGAAAGACAGCAATGTCCTCAGTTCTTTAGATTAAAGATCATTACTAAAGAGATTTTAGATAATAGTAGAGACTATGCAGAATATTAATGAAAAGAATAAACTATCGCTTTTTTATCGTTTTTAAACCTTTTGCTTTTCTTTATTGCAGCACAACAGTGTTGTACATGAAGTTTCTGATCCTTTGGGCCATCGTGATGGTTGCCGACTTCATGTTCATGTTCCGCTTTGAGTTCTTGTGGCCATTTTGGCTGCTCCTTCGCTCCGTACACGATTCCTTCAAGTACAAGGGACTGGTGAGTGGAGTGGGGTTACCCCCGATGTGATTGAAACTTACTTTATCTAAGCCAACTTCATTTGCAGGCATTCTCCGTTCTGTTTGTGTGCATAGCGATAACGTCGGATCTGGTCTGTTTGTTCTTTATACCCGTTCATTGGCTGCTCTTCGCAGCCAGTACATATGTTTGGGTGCAGTACGTCTGGCACACAGGTGCGTCATCCACCGCCAGAGTGGCGTCGTCGTCGTCGTGCATCTTCTCCTAACACGCTCACCCATTTTCATTGCAGATAAGGGTATCTGTTTGCCGACCATAATACTCTGGATGTTATTTGTCTATCTGGAGGTGGGCATACGATGGAAAGACAGTCGTCACATGCCTCACTTGGATCTCTGCCGGCCGTTCGCAGCGCACTGGTGAGTGCTCTTAACCAGATTTAATGTTAATGGGCTTTTGATAATGCATTCTCATCAATTTTAGCATTGGCTATCCGGTTGTCACGCTCGGATTTGGCTTCAAAAGCTACGTGGGCTACCGCATGCGCCAGCGCAAGCAGCGCGAGGTGGCCAAGGACAACGAGTTCTACATGCAGCTCCTGCAGCAGGCTCTGCCCGCGGAGGAGGCGGCCGACGAGGCGTCTGCGGGGGCGACAGGCGGCACATCCAGCACCGTTGTGGTGGCCAACGGATCGGCCACCTCGGCGGCTCTGGTCTCATCGGCCGGAGCAAACGCGGCGAACGGCATTTTGGCCACTGCCACGCAAGCACAAAACCATCATGAGCATCATCACAGCGGCGGCGCCGGCGCCAGCAGCAGCAGCTCGAGCAATAGTAATCATCACCATCACCACCATCATAGCAACAGTAGTAACAACAGCGGTAGCAGCCACAATAGCAACGGTAGCAACAGCGGCGGCGGCGGCAAGGACAACAACAGTTCGGGCGACAGCACAACGGCGGCCGCTTCAGCGTCATCGACAGCGTCTTCAGCAACGGGAGCTGCGGCAGCTACTTCGTCTGCGTCCACGTCCTCCGGCTCCTCAGCGTCATCATCGACGGCGGCGGCAGCGGGCAAGCAGTCGTCGGCGTCTGCCGCATCCACAACCACAACAGGTGCAGCAACAACCACCTCTTCCACCACTCCCGTCTCAGCTCTCTCCGCTTTGGCTGCCAGTTCGGCGAATCAGCAGCAACAGCAGCAGCAACATCAGTCGAGGGCGGCAGCATCTTCTGCCCGTTCTTCCTCCTCCACTTCCGAAGGTGCCGACGCTGACGGTTGTTGTGGTGGTAATATTCTCTTCAGCTGCTTTCTGCTGCCCCTCACAACAGCAAAAAAGAAAAAAGAACAAGAACAACCCACTAATTTGTACCAGACACATTTGTATGTTTCTGTATGCGCATGTAACCCACGAATCCATCTATACAGTAACCGCCAGCGAGGCTTCCTCGCGTTGTTTAACCCACAGCAACCACAGTCGGCCGTTTCAGCCCTTACAATGTCGAAACCTTCATATCATTATGTTCCTGCTGCAATGCAAATCTAATTCCGATTGTCAGCAGGAGGCCTGAGCAACTAATAACGTCCCCTGACCCCATTTACCCCCTCACCAAATCGATAAAAACACAATTATGTTGTACACCGCCGTGTATAAATAACCATGCACTTAACAAATCTATTTATATACTCTTTCAGCAACCTCCAATGGTCACGCTGGTGGTTCAAGGAACCATCGACGCAGCATGGACAAGGATAAGCATCGCAACAAGGGTGACGCTGCTGATAACGAGCACAACAATGGAACCCGACACGGCGGGGGTAAAAATAGCAGCAACAACTATCACCAAGTCGATAGCGGCGCTGCCACAGCAACCACAACAGTAACAGCCACATCAAGTAATAGTAAGGATAAGGATAAGGAGAAGTCAGACTGGGATAGTAGCACCAACTATCCACAACAACAGCAGCAGCAGGGCGGGAAGGAAAAGCACGGTGAGTGAGTTATTAGAACCAATGATTTGATTAGCTTCAAGAGCGCGAGCAGATAGCCATTAATCTTATCGATTGTGCTTATTAATCGTCGTAATTAAGTTGGTCAATTATTTTGTGTGGTTTCTGGAGAGCTCCCGGCCGTCCTTCATTCTCTTATCATTTAATCGATGTTTCTATCGCTGTGAAGGATTAAGGGAGCTGCATATCTGGGCACTTAATTGGCTTAATATCTCTTATCGAACGGTTTCAATTGACCCTATTGCTTTTACTATGTAATATAGAAGAACTTTTTTTTACCATTTCAGAAAAAAAGGCAGGCAACGCTGTCCCAAACGGAAATGCCAATCACCTCGAAGTCGAGGAAACGCCTAGTGTGGAACCAGCACCACCGGCAGAAAAGGCGCCCAAGGGTATGCGAGAAATAAATAAAAAACAAATTAAAGGGTAGTTGATTAATCCCACGATCCCTTTTTCAGGTCGACGCAATCGCGGCAAGAAGGATAATGCTGCAAAGGACAATCACAGCCATCAGCAACAGCTGGCTCAGCAACAAAAGGAAAAGGACAAGGAGAACACAGCCAATAACAACAACAATGATGCTAGTTCGGTATCTTCTTCGGCGAGCTCCACATCAAGCAATGCCATCGCACACTTGGCCAGCAAGGTGGTCTCAAAGATCTGTGAAACCTGTCTCAAACTGGAAGCCGATGTTAAGAAATATCGCGCCGAAATCAGCCACATGAAGCAAATCGAAAATGAACTTCGCCAGAAACTGGACGCCAATCTCACCAGCAAGTCCACGTTGCAGGCCAAGCAGAAGGAGTGCGACGAGTTGGAGAAGCGCATCCAAGAGCTAAACAACGCACGACACGCCGATATGCTCAATCTGCAGACAGTGGAACGGAGGCTCAACGAGGAGCGTCGGCAGAAGCAATCCCTGGACTCCCAGCTGGCCAACGAGAAAAAGGCTCGCAAGGTGGCCGAGGAGAAGGCAGCTCGCCCCGAGTGCAGTTCCCAGTGCAAGCAGCGGCGTCAGCAGATGGATGAGGAGCAAAAACGACTACGCAGCGAACTCAAACAGACGGAGGAGGCCAAGCAACATGCCGTCGAACATGGACGAAAATTTGAACAAGAGGTAAGCGTTCATAGTAGTTAAGACCATCAAAAACATAAATATTAATTTTGATATTTACAGTATCGCATGCTGGAGGCCAAATTACGGAATCGTGAATCGTCGCAGCCCGACCCTGAGATGCTATTGAATGCCCTGGCAGCCATGCAGGATAAAAACTCAACGCTGGAGAAGAATCTATCCGCAGAGACGAGAGTCAAGCTGGACTTGTTCTCGGCTCTGGGCGCTGCCAAGCGCCAGATTGAAATATCTGACAGTGAGTATTGGTTTTGTCAAGTGGAAAATAATGATTAAAATTGTTTGATTATTTTCGTAGACCATCGTCGCTCCAAGGAGGATGAGGTCATTGATCTCAAGGCAAAGATTGCCCAACTTCTGGCCGTGATGCCAGACAACTTGTGCATGAACACAGGCCCACATGGACCGGCGAGCAGCATTCTGCGCATGAACGACACGCCGCCGCTGCAGTCGGGTCCCGGACCGTCCTCGCCCATGCTCAGCCTGAGTGCTGCGCAGGATTACCAGCAGCATCAGCAGCACCAACAGCATCAGCAGCACCAGCAACATCAGCAGCAGCAGCAGCAGCAACATCAGCAGCAACAGCAGCAGCATCAACAACATCAGCAACATCAACAGCACCAGCAACATCAGCAGCATCAGCAACACCAGCAGCATCAGCAACACCAGCAGCATCAGCAACAGGGCGGCGGAGGTCCTGTCTCCCAGCAGCAAATGGTGCCCGTCAGCGTGGCGGCTGCCTTCCAAGTTGCTGCGGCCAATGCTGCTGCTGCCAACGGCAACGCCGGCTCAACGCTGGATCCGAATGCTAGCGTGTACACGCCCAAGACGGGCAACATGATGGTGGTGTCGCCGGTGGGCATGAACCCCAACGGTGCGGATGCCTGACGCCAACAGCAGCAGCAACAGCAGCAGTCCTTGACGTCGTCGTCGTCGTCGTCCTCGCATCTGCATCTGCGACGACAAGTTTGAGATTATTATACTTTATATGAATTAGGGAAAACAAACGCAAGCAACCGTCGCCACAGCAAACGATGAGCAGCACGAAATCCGGTGCCGGATCCAAGCAGTTTGCATACAATATCTGAATGTCCGTAATATGAATAAGCAGTTTCCTTTAAAATTTAAAAAACACCGCCACAAAAGCGCAGGCAGCACTGATGAATGCAGCTACAAATTGCTGAACATTTTCCGTTTTACATTTTTCTTCAAAATCTGCAAACAAAACAGTTTCCTCCTTGAATTTGGCATTCCAATTGAAATTTTTCTTGAAGGCCTTAATGACTCACTCCGATTGAAAATTCTCAGCTCATTCAAACCCTCTTAATTGAATCGGCTGCCCCGCCACCACACCATACACACATTCAGTATCTCCCTCTTAACACGAAAAGTAAATGATTACTTTAACAAGATGATTTGGAAACTCGAATCACATTTGAAAAAAAAAACAAAAAAACAAATAAGAACAGAACACAAATTTCTAAAAATAATAACAAAATGAAAATGGCGATTCGTATTTTAATTAATGATGATAGCCAGGGAAACTACCCCATGATCCTTTGTACAATGTTTTTCATTTTTACCGAACGCTGTGAGAGAGTTGGACCAACCTAAGTGATGGCCTTTGATCTTGGGGAGATCGCAGCTGCCCTGCTCGACCTCTGCCCCCTGATTCAATGGAATATATTTTTGAAGTCTGCGCCCTTGATTTATTATCTCATTAAATTATTTTTGTTATAAAACCTTAAATGTATGCTATAATTTAGAACTTACCATTTTTGAAAAACATCAAACGAAAAACGATTTTCTTTTAAGTTTTAATTTATTTTTGTTTAGTTCTGCTGTTCCTAAGAAAGAAAAAAATCGAAAACAACTAAGAGAAACGCTTTGGTTTATTTACGAGAAGTGAAACGTCGACTATTTTGTTTAATAATAAAATAACCATTCGCTGCGAGAAGCAAGTACATATCATTTTGTTTATTTTCACTGCTTGTGTTGATATATTTTCTTTGCTCATAGCAACCCTTGCTTGATTTGCTTATGTTCGTTCCCCCAAGGGCGTTATTCTCCAAATCCGTTTTACAAAGCTATACTTATACCAGAAAATCACATCAAAAATGCTCCTGAATTTCATTTACGATGTGCTGCAAGCCATTGCGAATGCTATCTACGCAACAGTAGCAACTATTTGGCAAATCGAACGTAAGTGAATAGTTCTTAATTATGTTGTCCTTCATCCGAACGATTCAAACCCCCCCAACAGAGACATTAATAAACTTCATGATGTCCTCGTTTCTGTTTGTTCTTGGCCTGGCCTGCCATCCGATCATGGTGATCCCTATGCTGATGGGCTGCTTTTACATTTTGCGCAACTTTTGGTACCGTCGTGTCAAGAATCCCAGGGTGGAGAACGCTGCTGATGGAGTCCGCCATGTTCCGCTTAGTCCACGACTTCCGCCCTATCGCAACTTTGGAAACCTTTCCGCTCTTAACAATGATTCACCCAAGGAAAACTGACTATATAGAAACCAAAAGCGCTTTTAAATTTTGTCATTATTAAAAGACTTTGGAGAGTTTGATTGGTGGAATACAATGCAACTGGCGAATACTAGATTTCTTGGATATATTATTTAAAATACATAAATATTAAATACATGAACGGATAAAAGGGCTCGTAATTCTGGGTTTTCTACAAATACTTAAATGGAATGAACGCTTTTAGGGTTTTAGCAGGCTGGTGGTGTCCACCTTTCGCAGAGCTTCTCGTGCCTTGATTAGAGTGACGTTGTTTGGCTGACCAACGAGCCCGGCTAGATGTCTTATGTACTTGTCAATGTTGCCCACACTGGGACCACTTGGCTCCAGATTTGGCAGTGAGATTCCCCCAAGCGCTGTGACCAATTTTTGGCGCAAGCCCCGAACGTATGCCTCCAAGCGCCGGTTCTCCTCCATTAGTTCGGTCACCTCGCCCATCACCTTGGCATAGCCGGCCTTTGTATTGTCAACGTGCTGTTCCAGCACAGCGTTCTGTTGCTCCAGATCAGTTTTAGCTTTGCGCAGGGTCCTAAGCTCGTTCTCGGTGCTGCGATTGTGCTCGATAAACTCGTTGGTGTAGATGGGTATCTCGCCGGGCTGTAGAGGCCGTGGAGCAGGCGTCACATTATTGGCAGCGGGCTGAACGGGAGCCGGTGGAGTTGGAGGTGGAGGCGTCTGGGCACGCTTCACTTTAGCCAGTGGAACATCATCGGGGTCCTCGCTCTGCCGTTTCACCTGTTTTGCTTTGGTCTTCTTCGCTTCAGCCTTCGGTGTTTTCTCCTTCGGCGAATTGTCCAACTTGGTCGCCTTCTTCGCTTTGGCCAACTCTTTTGCCACAATTTCAGGGTGTTCCTTGAGAAACATTTGCAGCTGCTCTTGATAGCTATGCAATTTATTGAAACAAATGAGTGTGCTGCTGTCATATGGGGTTTCGAAATGGCTTACATGGCTTTGTCCTTGGCGGCGGCCTCCATGTAGGGCAGCTTCCTTTCCTCGGGCAGCTGGTGCCACTCTTCACCAATGATCCTTGTGTGTTCCAGTGCCGTTCGTTGTGGCTGCTCTCTGCGAAGTTCCTCTCGCCGATCGTTCATGAAACGGACATAGCCATTGAGTGGCATCTTCGGAGCTCCTGCTACGTTGATCCGTCGCTGTGTCAACTTTTTTAATTCGGATTGCAGATCGGATTCCGAGTGGCGACCCTTTGGGTTTTTGGTTTTCTTTTTTCCTTTTACCGGCTTGTCGTCCTCGATTTCCTCCACGGTTACCGAATCCAGAGATTGGGAAGCAATTGGCACGGGGGCCGGGGACTCCATTACTGCATCTGGGGTCTCAGTAGATGGATCCGTCATGTCTGTCTTTTCTTTATTAGGTTTATTGCATGTGCGATTTTATTGCTTTATACCTGTGCAAGTTGTTTTTACAGTAAGACCAGCGCTCCAAAAACTAGTTCCATTTTTATAAACAAATATTTTTTTGGAACTAGTTCAGCTCTGCATATAAATTTCAACTTACCAATTTAAAAACAACAAGAATAAATCTTATAATGCTATTATAATTTATAATGTAATATTTTTCAAAGGTTTCTCATAATTACGAAGTAATGATTCTTCCGAAAATTTTAGCAGTATGTCATATTTATATACGTACACACATACATATGTACATATGGATACTGCAAACGCATAACAAACCAACTGAATTGCATCGAAAATGAGAGTTCAACTTTGAACATTATAAATAATAAAGATAAATTATCCAGTTAATACTGGAAATGTTGAATCAAGATTGTCAATACTTTAGTAATGCTTATCAGTAAAAGACTTGAAATATAAATCATCAAAATAAAAATTCTTATTAAATTTAAATATGTATTATAGAAATCTCATGTTGTTCCTATTTCATGATTTTGTATTATTGCAATCATTTAAATGCAGCGATGTGCAGTCTTATCAACAAAAATGTAATTTCTAAGAAATGACTCATTTTTTTTAGAGTTAAAAACACTATACTATACTATACTATACATACGACGCAGAAATTACGTCAGAATAGGTACATGGCGTGATTTCAAGCGAATGGCGTGATTAGAAATTTTATCACACGCAGTTTATGGAGCGGCTTTCGCTCAGAATAAGGTTTGTAAATAAAAACAAGTCATAGCTGTGGTTTGGTTTGGTTTATATTTTGAATATATTATTTTTTTTCGAATGTTTTCGCAAATTCTTTGAGCACAATATATGTTAGTAAACGTAAGCCTATGTGGTTAGAGATTGTTAAAAATAAATGGAAACCTATAGCTAATCTTAGCGCCTATAGTACAATATCATTTATAAAGCCTTCAATTACGAATATCTGTACAGCCTATCAACTAAAACATTTAAACATACGGCGGCCGGCCAAACTTAGCAGTAGAACTTAGAGAGAGAAAATCGTTGTGGATCCAACGAAGACAACAATTTGACAACTTAGATCAAATTGGGGAACAGCTCGTCGATGTTGCTGTCCCAGGGAAAATCCTCCTCGTCCGTGGGCAGTGTCAACGTCGTAGGCGAGCCCAGTATGGATTCGTATCCATGGTCCGAGGTGGCCGAATGAAGGGACAATGCGGGTGATTTGGCCAGCGGGGAAATCGCCTTGACGCGCGGACGAAGGAACCGTTCGAAACTGGAGTCGAAGCTGCCCTCATCGTCCGAGTCATCAGTGGCGTTCACTACATTGAGGTACACCTGTGACGGAGACGTCGCTGGCGGCGGACACTTCATGATCACGTCAGTCGAGTCGTCGCCAGCGGTGACGCCGTCACAGTAGATCTCCTCAACGGCTTCGTTCACCGGCTCCGCATCGCCGTCCATCACGATCGTGATCGAGTTCGTCTTGGCATCGTACGTTCCATAAACTGTGTCCGGAGTGGCCTGTAATAGTGAGGCGGCCGCTGTTGCTGTAATTGTAGCTGTCGTCAAGGCTGGCGCTGCTGTTTGCTGTGGGTTTCCATTCATCTCCAACACCTGCACATTCAGGCTGATCTTGTGCTCTTGCTGCTGCTCCTGCTGCTGTGGTTTCTTCTCCTTCAGGCCATCAGCTCTATGCCCGTCGGATTCCAAGCGCTCTGTTGCGGTCCCCACCACTGATCCAAGCAATCGCTCTGCTTCGCCTGCATCTTGGGCAACAGCTGGGCAGCCCGTTCCAGGGCCTGTTTCCAGGTCTGCTGTGATATCTGCGAGCAGACTTTCGGCCAGCTCTTCGAGGCGCTTGACGTCGAACTCTTCGTCGGCGCCAAGCATGTCTTGTAGAGAAGGCAGATCGCTACAACCTTCCAGAGGGAGGCCATGCTCCGGCTGCTCTTCAGCTGCTCGGCCAGCAGACGCGCTGACGACTGTGTGTCCACCTGTTGTGTACCCTGCGGCAGAGGGTCAGCATTGGATGCTGCAGATCCAAGGTTTGTGGACGCACAGCCCTCAGCGCCCGCGCTGACGGGGTTGCTTTGGCTGATGCTTCTGGTGTTGTATTGCTGCTGTTGCTTCAGTTCGGCGAGTTCTTGGCGCAGGAGCTCCAGTTCCGAGTCCAGCTTGTGGTTCTTGGCCAACAGCGACTCGTTAATGGCCTGCAAACTGTCGCACTTGTTTTGTAGTATTTCCGTTTTGTCAGTGAGTTCCTTGATCTCGTAGTCCATCTCCTCCATGCGTGCCTTCTTGCGGTCACGTGATGTCTGGGCGGCCACTCGATTCTTTAGCTTCCTGTAGTTTACAAAGATTTAGTATTTATTTTAATCTATTTATTGCTTATTAACTTACTTTCTTTGCACTTTCTCCTCCCAGGTAAGATGATCCAGACGGCGCTTCTTGGCCTTGGGAGGTGTGTTCGCCAGGCTGTCGTCCTCCAGGTTCGACGAGGATGCGTATCCTGAACTCGAAGGCGTGGGCGAGGCAGAGGGTGTGGCCGCCGCCCCCTTAAGCAGCGCTGCTGTGAGGGGAGCGGGGCGCAGTTTGGGCAGATTATTCGATGTAATTGCTGTCCGCGGCACGGTTATCAGCACTGCGTTTGCTGTGGGGGCCATTTTTAACTGATTGGGGCTAAATAATAGACTGCTTTGTGCTGGGGGAACTGTGGAAAGCGCTTTTCCACTTAGATTTGCATCGCTTGCTTTTATGTTCACCGACTTTTGTTTTGCTTAGGTTGTCTCTTGAACTTCGACTGCGCTTCTTGGACGCTCTGCGGGTTTAGATCTCTTCATCGCCTCCGACTCGGGGTTTTCTGGCTCTGTCTCACGCAATTTTCTTGTCCACCCTTGCAATATCGACCAACTGGTTTTCCTCTGTGCTGACGTGTTCTTTTCCGAATGGCTCAGTGAAAAGCTGACGTGGTTTTACAGTGGTGGAAAAGCAGCGACGGAACAATCGACTATCGTAGAAAAAAATCGATGTATTGGAAGAAACGTCTATATAATTAGTTGCTTCATAATTAAAAAATAAATTGGAGATTTATGCCAATATTCAACCAAAAATTGGTGTATTAAACAGTAATTTTTTACAACCAAAACTATCGATCTAAAACTTTTAAAATAGTGGGGGAATTTTAATGGTTCCACCACTAGCTTCGCGTAGTGTTTGAAATGTTGGTGCTCGAAAGGGATTTTAAAATATGAACTGAATTTTATCCTAAGTTAGGCGTACTTCAAACGAATTAGATTGTATACAAATCAGGTTTAAATTTATTAAAAAATTATTTTTCCCCTTCAGTTAAACCACAGCTGGCTTCTTGCCCTTTTCTTTTTCTGCCTGGGCCAACTCCTCCTTAACCACCTCTGCGATTTCATAGATATTGGGCTTGTGCTGGAGGTTTTAAATGAAAATTGATCATTAATCGACAGGCAACATGTAAGCCTCACCCGTAGTTGATTGATGTAGAAGGTATAGGGAATGTTTCCAGTAATCGGATCAATGGCCACGGGCCACATAGCTTCTAACTCTTCTTCCGTAAATGGCTCGCCCTCCTCCGCCATCAGTTTCCCAAAATATTCTTTGGTAAGAAACTTCTTGTTTTCAGGGTCCAAAATCTCAAAAGCCGCGAGCAGCTCCTCTGAGGATGATGGGTGCATTCTGTAAAAGACAGGAAACACAAAAGGATATTTACTAAAAAATAGAAACCTATAAAAAATCTAAAACAAAATTAAAACTTTAAAAATTCGAAAGTAACTAACTTGCCATCCATGAGCTGTTGAGAGACATGGGTCATAAATCGAATTAAATGGGTCTCCCCAGGATAATCCACGGACTCGGTGGCCTTAACGACATCTTGGACCTCCTTTTCGGTTGGCACGCAGCCCAAAAAACGAAGAACATTACCTACGTTGCGGGTATCAATATATTTGTCACCATGCGTGTCAAATATGCAAAATGCTTCAGATATCTGTGTTTCAAGTTCGTTGCTCAGGGTAACTTTTAAAGGTGAGAGCTTTTAGGCAAAAATAAATGGTACATTCGATGCATTTCTTACCTCCAACTTCCATTGCGATACTAAGTTGTAACCGTTAATTTAGATTCACTGATAATTTTGGTTTTGCTGCAATTTTTTTTGTGTTGTTTTGTTCTACACTTTTTAGAGACTGATAGTTTTCGAAATGCTTTCTATTTCCCTTTTGAATTTTAAAATTACGGTAGATAATCGAAGGTGCCGCCAAACACCTGTTAACTTGTGAATGGTCACATAGTCGTGGTGAATGAGATCCGATAAGCCTCAGCCGATGAATTTCTAAGATGCAACCGTGTTAAGCGTCGCGTTATTTTGTTTTCTGTTTTGTTGTTCGTTTTCATTTCAATTTGTACCGTTTATTGTGTGTTTTTGTTACTTATGTTAAGCCAATTGGTTTATTAGGGCATTTGTGTTGAAGCTCAAGTGATATAAAGAACCATTGCAATGCTCCTGTGAGGACAACAACAGCGCATTTAGTTGGTGCTGTGTGCGTGGACCAAGCAACAGGTTTTTCAACTCAACTCGGCGCGCCACCTCAGTTTTCATTTGTTTTCGATGTTCCGTGGAGTTCGGTTCGCGTAGCGGGAAAATCGAATTGCAATTTAATGCAACTTTTAGTGGAAAACGAAGAAATAACTCCGTTCAAGTGACGCTGAAACGGCAACTCGTTTTTATACGATCGCAGGTGTGTACGTCGGTCGGCGGTATTCCAACGGGTTTTCCAGGAGTTTTTTTTGGCCCATAACAAGTTCAAACTTGGCCATATTATCACAGTTAACAAGTGCCACCGCATCTCGGCAAGTGTATGCGTGAAAAAAGAAGAAAACGCAAAGAAAATCTCGGCTCAAAACACAAAATCGCCATAAAAATGGAAAGTGTTCGATACTCGACACTTATGTGCCGCTAACAACGATCATCGATCCCTGGCTTTTAACCCGTTTTCCAGCCAAATAAATAAACAAAAGAAGAGGTGCGAATTTTGAAAGTGACCACTGGCCACTCAAAAAGTGCCAGAAAATTGTTTATCTCTTGTTGACATTTTTCCAATATTTGCTCGTGGCATTGAGCATAACTCGCTAGAAAGTTTATCTCTGATCGATGTCAATTAGTGGAGTATGCATGAAAAGATAAATATTTACCAATGTGGCGTTCGAGTGTTGAAAGTGGAAGTCTATGACCGATGTAATCACCAATTCATTGAAACCACTAAATCATTTTTGAGATTTGTATATCATTATTTACTTATTTAGATTTATTAACTTGCATTGGTCGCAAATTAAAATATTTTATTTGCACTTTGGTTTGTTAATTTATGCTCTTGACATTGGATCCTTATCTGGTTTCATAAAATCTACAAATAAAAGTTTACCATTGTGGGAAACTCATATGGCCATAAAACAAGTAAAACATAACCAGTATGATCTTTTTTTGACAACGTGCCAACGTGCGGTTTTTGGCCACATATGGATCTGCATCCAACTGCACCTAACTCGCTTCGCAGAAAACCTCAGGCGGCCATAAACGCTGATGATGAATTTCCCTCCCTGGAGTGAAATTGTGGATTTTGCTGATGGGTTTTCACTTGGTTTTGCAGTCACCGCTCCCCTCGTTGAATGCCACTACAGTCAAACATCTATAACTCGAACAACTTTAACTAGAGGTCCCTATATACTAGTCCTATTCCGAGGTCACAGAAACCTCATTCATCCAAACTCAAATCTGATGTCCATAAAGATGATCCTAAAACGGTTTTTACAGTTTTTTTGTCCATAGCTCTATTTTTTGAGACAAATGAGTGTTTAATTTATGGAAGGTCGACTGTAGTTGTTATGGGTAATTTCAGGTCGTGCGCCTGGTTGTCGAAAGTGGCCAAAACACCTTTCCTTTCCTTTTCGCTCCTTCCACGATTTTTCTCTAATGCTCCATGCAGTTTTCGCTGCCCGCCAAACGACAGGTGGCTGGTCACTTTTGCGGTTCGAAAAGGTTTCTGTTTAGGTCTCCATGTGGCAAGTAAATCAACCACCTTGGGTACCAGCAGATCGGTTCTGTTACTCCCGCGTACAGAGAAAGAAAAGTTTATGTAACCTGCTGATCTGTTTATTGTAGTTTAAATAGGGTTTTTAATACATTTATGTCTTATACCTGACAAGCTTTATACTCTTTCTACCTGAATAGAAAATGATGAACAAAGTAGATTGTAATGACTCTGCAGTTCTCGTCATCTATGAACCAATGTCCTTTAAGGGTTTTCCATGTGGGTTACGATTTTCAAAACGAATTTATTTTATGGACCTGAGTAACTATAAAAGTCTGGAAACGAGCAAGATTTATTGGTGGTTCAAAAACTGACCTTTTCCAATATTTGTTAGTCAAATTTTCGTATTTATTTACATTTTTTAGTAATTAGACTGCAGCAAGGCTATTCACTGATACTTACTATTCTTTTCCATTGTGTAATTGTGGGGGTTGCCTTTCGGTTTTCAGTTTTCAGTTTTCGGTTTTCTGGCGATCTGGTGGCATGCTCTGAAAAACTTGTTTTTCGCTGTTGTTGTTGTTTTGCTTCTCGTTTCTGGAATTCTTGGTTGGCGGTGCCCGCAGCTCTTTCGGTGCCTCACCATTCTCCTCCTGCCCCTTCATCAACTAGCCGATCGTCTTCTGTTTTTTTTCTCATTGGAGTAAATTTTTCGCTTGAGGAATTTTATGTTGCTGCCGTGTTTGATGCCCCTTTTTTCGCACAGTTAATTTTCTTATTCCTCTCCCCTTACTTGTAATTGTGTGTCGTGAGTCAACGTTTCCATATTTTCTCGGGGAAACCACCATTCAGCTAAAATATTTATAATACATATTTACCAGTAAGGGAGAGTCGAGAAATTGGTTCAAGCCTGTCTGAAAATGAAAATAGTATTTAAACCAGTTCACTCAAAACTTTGACTACAACAAATTACACAAAGAAAGTTTTTTATATGGTTTTTTTAAAAACGCACTTGATGGCTGCAAAAAAGTTAAATTATTTCAGTGGCGAAAATTTATGAAAAACTTTGCCATGGAATGTGCAGAAAAATAATAATAATTATATGTCTGCCATGGGAAAGTCGAAGCAAACCTCTGGTAAATTGCAATGTCAACAGAGAGATAGAGAAAGGGGAGCGAGGGGGCTTAATACTGAATAGCTTAACTGAACAATCTGTTGATTGGCACCGCTTGAAACTGCAGTCTGGAGTAAGCCACCGAACAATGATCGTGTCTGGCCTGGAGCTGTCTAACTGGATAGTTGGCTTGGCGACTTGGCTTAGAGAGCTGCGATGCAGGAGTTAAAGAGGTGGAGGTCCAAACAATGCTAGATATTCACAGTACTTAACGATGACTTTAAAGCATCTTGTGCGATACAGTTTAAGAGACCGAGATAAACAAAAGTTCCCAACACACCCAAGAATTTAAGTTCTTAGGCTTTTTCATTTTCAAACAGCAACATTTTGATGGAATTCTAGTAACAGCTTTATTTTGAACTAAAATCAAACAAGAAAATATCTTAAGTGAGAAAATGTCGCACTTGTTCTCTAGTTAGTAGGAGTCGTTTTTTTTTAATCTTAATCATCGTTGACATAGTGTCTGAAATCCCTTCTTTTTAATATTATATAAATGGTTAAATATATGAGTAGGAACTTATTTAGTAGAGAGCCTGATCAATATTTAAAAGCCACGAGTGTCCTAACTTTTCTCATCTCACAGCAGCGCTTTTATTGCTTTATTACTGCGGTCATAACTATTCTACTGTTTATATGCTTGGTAATTGTTTATTACTTTGCATACTGCTAATTAATGGTTTCTCTTTCGATTGTTTTGTTTTGCAGCTCCCCGAAACCGGAATGGATGCTCAATGACAAACGAATTAATAAAACGGCAAAATGAAGAAGCGTTCAAAGCTAATCTAGGCATTCCCGCAAACAAGCGAAACCGAAACAATATAACAAGTATTAAATAACGAGTCTCGTCGAATGCAATGAAAAGAAAAAACACCAGTGGCTAGATCGTTTGTTTGTGATCAATTCGAGTGTGTGAGAGAGCGTGACAGAAGCTAAAGATACGCGGCTCAAAATGCCAATAATCACGGCCACGACAACGGCGACAGCCGGCGGAGGAGCAGGTGTGGTGGCGAGGGGCGTGGCAGCCGCCAAGTCTCCCACCGATTACCTAATGCTCCAGCAGCAGCAGCAGCAACAACAGCAGCAGCACTTCGGCAATCACTTCTATCAGCAGCAGCAGCCACAGCAGTTGGCGCCTCTGAATGCTTCCCACCAACACCAGCACTCCCATCCACATCCACATCCACATCCTGTTGCTGCTCCGACCAGTTTTGCAACATTTAACGGAAACTCGAATCTAAATTCTAGCCTTGCCAACGGAAGCAGCAGAAAATTCAATTGCAGCCGCGACAACGTGGACGATAATTCTGATGCCGCCGATGTTGTTCTTGGAGTTTCCCAGACATTGTCCGCCGGTATAGATGTGGTTGGTAACGGCAACGGGAATGGCAACGGCGACAAGCCAGCCGGTGTAGCGCCACCAGGGGGTGGGCACCATCTGCGACCGCCACCGCCGCCGGCACTCAAGAAATCCGTCGTGTCCTCTTCGGCAGCCGGGAACTCCGCTTCACGTGAGGACGTCGCCTCCTTGAGCGGCACTTCCTCGCTGAACAGCCAGATGTCGGTGCATAATCAGTTTATCTCCGGAATGCCAAGCAATGGCATTGGCAGCAATGGGATTAATGGAGGAGGCCCCGCCACCGGACGAGCTGCTCCGCCCAGCAGCATTCTGAAAGGCAGCAAGGGTAAGCAAACAAAATCGATTCGATTACCCAATGTAATTAAGAAACCAATGTATCGTTTAAGTAAGTACGCTGCGGAATAGCGGATATATAAATCAAAACTTTAATTGGAATTTAGTTAGCACTGAAATCTTTTCAAAGGGATTACTTCTCAGCTTTATAACCAACGCATTAGTCTTGTATTTAGTAACATGTTTTGATAAGAAAAAAAAGTAATGCAATATGTTTAAGCGCAGATGCATAAATATTAATGACTTTATTTTGATGCAATTAACAACAGATTTGAATAATAAAAACTTTATGCATTCCACATGCTTCAAGTTAATGTTTACATCAGAAAATTATTTATTTATAAGTTTTCCCTTTATTGTGTTTGATCCAATTTACTGTCGCATGTGGCTATCAATTATGTAGTAGTTGGTTGTTGTGGTCGCCCGAGGCTGTGCTCCAAATCGAATTTCCACTTTCGTTTCGCCTCGTAAAATATTAAAATTAATTTGTAATGGGCCAGCTCTTAAACCTAATTTAGGGCGACCGTCTCAAGTGACTCATTTCCGCCCCCACATGGCCAAGAGTGATTCGTCCAAAAACACACTCCCACTTTGCTTTTCAGTTTCAATTACGTTTTCGGTTTCAATTTCAACTCGAAATGCACTTGTCCGCCACAAAATTAGTCTACTCGCAGCGGGGAGTTAAGGGAAAAGTAAACAGAAAGTAGTGAAACAGCGGGTGGATAATTAGTATCCAGTTGTTTGGGTGTTTTTATTTTGGGGAGCCACGCGCCTTTGAAAAAGAACTGCTACAAATATTTCGATGTAAACCAAAACCCACTTTCTTGCTAACCTTCTTGTGCTCGAAATGGTTGTGGGTCTTCGTTCTTAGCCAGTTCTTAGAGGACTAAGAACTACACTTTCAATATTACACTCGGTTTCACCTTCTTGGCGGCACTCTACTCCCGTTTCATTTAATCCAGCAGTCATCACTTTCTCACAACCAACCATTGAAGCCCCTGAACCTAGTCGATCCACTTGCCATCTAACCCAAGTGAGCTGCATTGTTTCTTGCCGTCTCCGAATGAATTATCGTAAGACGACATTCATGAATGAAACCCAGAGAGCTGGTTTATTTTAAAGCCGACAACGAGTGGAGCGGGGGGAAATAGGTAACCTCGATTTTGTCGCTGATCGACTTAACTTGAGTATGCGGTGGGCTCCAAATTGCCGGTCTAGATGATGTGGGAATTTAATAGTATGGCCAATCGACATTCAACTTGTAGGTGTGATTGGGGCTATTAAATTAAAACGTTCAGCCAAATTATTAGTTGTCCATTTAAAACAAGGTATCACCATATCTATGATCATTGGCAACAGGTAAACTAATGGATTTTTGAATTTGGCTAATGCGAACTAAGAATTTCATAGCCTTATAGGACCAAAACTCAGTCCAATATTAACTTGTTGGTGTTTGTAAACACTCTTCACGTTTCACATAATCTTCCATTTAAAAAACACAACCCACACAATCTCGTGCTCATTTCGGTGTATATACTCGTATATTTTGGACAACACCATCTAGGTGTAGATGGGAAATCGTTTTCGGAAGTTGGGCAAGATAGGTGGTTAGTATGTATCTGAATCATCTGTTAAGCGTTTGCCGCTTGGCTTAATTCCCCCACCATTCTGTCCCATTGTTAAGTGGTTGCCGCGTTTCGGGGCATGAATTCCTCAGACTTGGCTTACTCAATTTGCGGAGCGGGTGTGATTTGATTAGATGAATGCAAAAGTCTACCTTCGCCGGGGGTGTTATGTTATATATTTTGTCCCAGGAGTTTCAATGGCCTTAAGTGGTGGCAACGAACTCGAATTTACCCACCTGGAGAACGCGCTCGCCTCTTCCCCGCCCCCGCCCCCGCCACATTGTATCTTGCTTATCATTTACGCCTCACGTCAGTAGCAATTAGCGGCGGAGAACCTTCGGTGGCGTTGGAGTTGCAGTCGCTCCACTGTCCCCTGCATAGTATGCTGCGATTATTAATTTCTTGATTACGACAGCAGCAGGAGGGTAACTCTAGTTTATGGCGTGCCATGTAAGCCAAGTTAACGAAGCAGCAAAGCCAATTAGATGCTATCATTAGTCGGAGAGCGGGGAGTCCGTAAAGGAGTCGTCACAAATGACACAGGGAATGGGGATCGCCGCCCCCTTTTTCCTTTCCTGCGAGAACAAAGTTCTACTTTGTTTTACCATCCCCCAGTGGGGAGAATCAGCAACTCGATGACATCAATTGAGGGCCACGGGCTTCGAGCAAACTTCTGCTGCCCGAAGGCGAAGCATTCCAATGCGGGCGAAGTATAGTACATAATTGCCGGGCGAGCATTCAACGGACCCGCTACAAGAACCTCGAGTTGGAGTTTAAGTGCTCATTGCGTAACTCGAAGAACTGCACTGGCCAGCAGATTCTAGCGGTCCAGACGGCACAGATAGCGGCGGAAAGAGCATCTTATTACTGGCTAATTTATGTGGACGTTGCTCGGGAATTAAACAAATTAGAGTTGGAGCGACATGGGGCTTTCACTTTGCTGTTTTTAAGTTCTTGTAGAGGCAAAAAATAACTGAAGCCGGACATAATCCCAAAGTAGTGGTCATAATTTTAAGAAAGTATACAAACACCTCGGGAAAATGTTTTTTTATGGAGCTTAATCATAATTTTTTGCATAAGTTTTATGAAGATATAAAAGTTAACGGGTTGCGTCTCGATTTCGGAAATGTACTTTTCAACGCCCGAATTATTTATTTTTTTTTTGTAAGAAATCCATTTCCCTAAAGTTTGAACTGGTCTTGTCAAGTAACATGTCATTAGATCGTGCCGAAACTCACGATCGAATAACAACTTATAAGGTGCAGTGCAAATGTTCGTGAATAAACTTTAAAGTACATCAATGTCTTGTCAAACAGTGTGAACTGATTTCTTGCGAAGAGCACATAAGTTATATAAGAAATAAGTATTTCAGAAACATAGATAAATAATGCTTTTATGGTTTTATGTTTTATCTTTTATCTTTTTAAATAAACCGCTTTCCCATTCCTTTATTTACTGGCAAACGTGGCCAGGAAAATTATGAAAACCTACGCAAAGAAAATCACAATGGGTAAAATTGGCAATTAGGTAAAGGTAGTTTAAGCAGCACTTGCTTGTTGCAGGTTAAAAAGTTGAAAGACTACTGGGGGCACCTAGGGAGCACTTCTCCGTTACCGTCACGCCCTTGGGTACTTTACCTACGGTTTGCCACGCCCCCTGACCCCCGAAAGACGCGTGCGTAACTTTGCGTTTGACTTTTGTTTTTCATTTGGGTCAAAGTCAATGAACTGGCGGGTATTTTGACTCGACTTTACGTAATTTGTGGGCTGCACATTCGGGGATTGTTTGTATCTGCTTCAATTGTACCACATGTTGGCCGAAAATGGAGTTCCCTTTTGTTGTGCTTTGTTTAAATTATTTTTAGACATTTACCGGAGTCTTAATGCACTCCCGATCAGTCTGAACTGTCCTGATATGATCTTAGCTAAATGATTCCCCCAATTTCTCTTTGAATCTCGTGCTCAATTAGCCACAATCTGTGGGAATAATCGTTTGTCAATCATTATCATTTACGGCAGTCTCTGACTACGGCAATTCCTGTTATTATGAGTAATGGATATTCTTTGTGTACCACTAAGACTCAGGCGAGGCTTGATTCTCTTTTTTGACTCTTTCTTTCTTTTTAATTTCGATATCCATTCGAGCCAACATTCCCAGCAGATGAGTCACTTTTTTCACTTTACTGGCATGCAAGATATGCGATCTGTTTGGGCGAGTGAACAATTTTTATAGTCTACACAGGAGATTAAATTTCTCTTTTCGTACCTAAAATAAAGGATTGTTTTTATAGCCCTGGTTCTTTTGAAAATATTTAAATGAAAGGTAGTTAAAATATATGTTTTGCTGCTTATATGTATGTTTGCTATTCAAAAACCATCTGAACACATTTATTCTATGAAGCTACTTCATATAGATTATTGTTTGTCCAAGAGAGTCCATAAAAACATTCTCAGTCCAAACTTAGCATCGTATTTCGCGATCATATATGCTGATTCATTAAAAAAGAAAACATTTGCATATCTTATCTGCAAAGAAGAGATAACAAAACATTTTTAGATTTAGCAATGTGTGTCACATATGTATTTGTGTTCGTGTTTGCCTTAGAAAAGGAGATAAACCCAGATTTTCGGAAAGTAAAGCGGGATTGCCTGGTATAAAGGGAATCGAGAAAGGTAAACAGTATTTAGTTCAGATTCTAGTTTGTGTTTTGTTTGCAGCCCTGGTTCATTCCATATACAGCTGTGAGCATTATTTCTGTGCTACATCTGTTGATCAAATAGTTCCCTCTCTCTCTCGCATTCTACAAATATTTACACAATGCAAGCAAGTGAAGTTGCGAACGAAGCGGCAAAGGAAAACAAAGTGGGTGGTGTTAGGGGTATGAAGGGAATGGGAGGGGACTGGGAGGCCAAGGCACAACTGTGCCGCCAACAACTTCCGTGCTGGAAAAACTCCATTTCCCCTCGTTGTCCCTTCGTTTCCCACCCCTCTTGGCGCCCACTTCTTTAACACTATAGATTCTGTAGACTCTACGAACACAAACATGGTGATTGTACACAGCACAAAATTTCTTGTCAAATTTATTTTCCCCAATCACCATTTACTATGTCAATAATGCATAGATTAAAAAATGGCAGAGCCCTTGCTTAAGTTTATTTTGTGATAGCGATAAAAAAACCAAGCAAGCTACCCCTTTCGATACAAATGCATTTTGATATAAATATTATGGTTATTTTTTTGTTGCTGTGCAATTATTTAAACGAGCTTCTCCCCATCTCTGTCCCACTTCCTAAGGCCCAGTTCAAACATGAGGCGATGGCGCTTTTACCGTTTAAAGATGTGTCACCTGCCCTCCCTTTCCCTCACCTTCCGTGTTCCAATTGGAAGTGTCTGGCATAAATATTCATCTTGCTATGCAAATGATTCGCAATATGTTTTGAATGATGCTCAGGTGGGTCTTTCGCTCTCCGGTGGATCCGACATTCGATTAGCCCTATTCGCATGGCTTTATCTCTGTATATGTACAGGTATATTTAAATATCTGGGTTGGGGCATGCACCTCAAAAGGGGTTAACGATGAGCGGTCCGCAAAAGCTAAAGCCAACTTTACTTCCTTCTTTTAATAAACATCGATGCATGATTTAGCATAACACCGTAGACCTGATTTTATAATGCAAATCTAAGAAGAAGAGGTTTAAGCTTAAACTTCAAAGGAAAATTTTAAAAGTGTGTTTCATGAAATAACCAAAGTTGAACATTTTTTTCTAGTTCTAGCAATGGTTACCTAACGAATTAAAACTTTTCTTTATAAAAGCCCGAATTTGGCCTAAAGCGTTTTCGACGAAACCTGAGTCATGCTGAGAGCTTATCAAACGATCATCTCTTAACGGCTTGCCGAGCGAAATCACGTCGGCCTTGGCCAAAAGCATAGGCCACTCATTTACTTCTTTCGCTTGGCCATAATTAAAATTTCCCCATTGCTCATCCGACTTTGTAAGTGGGGTCTGCGAGTGCTAGTGGCCATCTCGTTTCATTATCTCCGTGGTCCAGAAAAGTAGGTCACAGCCTAAGCAGAGCCTGCCTGCCTGCCAACTGGCAAACTGCTAATAATAATTATCATTCTGGCTTGCCCCAATCGAAAACGCTTTACGCTTCAGCGGATTCCCAACAGAGTTACCAAGGGGGAATGGCCAATGGCAGGAGATGCGGACTAGGGATTGGGGTTCGCTTTTTATGTGGTTCGATTTCTAAAGACCACACCAAACTATTTTCGGCTGGCTGAGCATTTGACTCCACCAACTCGTTTTGGCCAAGTTCCACCTGTTGGCGGGTTCGTTGAACGATTTGAGTTTGGTGATTGATTTTTGTACTGCTTAATTGATGGAAGAGTAAATAATCGAGCTCCCTTTAATTTACAGAGAATCTCCTGCAGAATACATACTACAATGGCGAGACAGGTGACAGCAGTCTTGGCAGCGAGTGCGGAGTTGGCGATGTCCAGCTCCAAAACCATGATGATCCGGGTGACGGATTGGGACCCCTGCCCCCAAAATGGGAGACTGCCTACACTGAACGAGGCGAGCTTTACTTCATCGAGTGAGTATGATTAAAGGATTAAGGATAAACAATGGAAAACAAAATATTTGTATATATTCAACGGATAGTTTAATGTTCTTCCAATGATTGTTTTGTATATCTTATAATATGAATACCATTTGCAGTCACAATACGGGAACCTCGCACTGGCTGGATCCGCGGCTTTCCAAGTATCAGAAAAAGTCTCTGGAGGACTGCTGTGAGGACGAGCTGCCCTACGGCTGGGAAAAGATAGAAGACTCCATGTACGGGATGTACTTCATTGACCACGTGAACCGGCGAACGCAGTACGAGAACCCAGTGCTGGAAGCCAAACGGCGAGCGGCCGAGCAGTGTCAACAACAACAACAACAGCAGCAGTTGCAACAGCAACAGGAACAGCGTTCCAAGACTCCCACTGTGCTGCCAGAGGCTCTTCCCACCGAAACGGCTGAAGATCGGGAGGAGGATGAGGGCTCCCCAGTTAAGCTACCCTACAAGTTCACCCGGAATCCCGCCGAGCTGCAGGGCCAGCGCATCAACACCACGCTGCTAAAGTCATCCCGCGGTCTGGGCTTCACCATTGTGGGTAGCGATGGCAGCGCTGGCGGGGATGTGGAGGAGTTTCTGCAGATCAAAACGGTGGTGCCGAACGGACCCGCCTGGCTGGACGGCCAGCTGCAAACGGGCGATGTCCTGGTCTACGTGAACGACACCTGTGTTCTGGGATACACGCACCACGATATGGTCAATATATTTCAGTCAATTCTGCCCGGTGAAAGGGCATCGCTGGAGGTGTGCCGTGGATACCCGCTACCCTTTGATCCGAATGATCCCAACAACGAGGTGGTGACCACCATGGCAGTGGATGGACGGGAGTCGGAGAAGCAGAGGCGTCTCAACATGGACGGGAATTACAACTTCCTGGACTTGTCCGGCGAGGGAGCAAAGAAAGCCAGTGGTGCCGGCAGTGGTTTTATCCTGATGAAGAAACCTGAGCTCTACACCTTCTCAATTATGAAGGGCTCCATGGGTTTCGGTTTCACCATTGCCGACTCCGCCTGTGGTCAAATCGTAAAGAAGATCCTCGATCGGAACTGTTGCACCCAACTGATGGAAGGTGATGTTCTGCTAGAAATCAATGGGATGAACGTGCGAAACAAGCCGCACTTTTACGTGGTGGAGCTGCTCAAGGAGTGCAGCCAGACGACGCCCACAGCAGTGAAGATTCAGCGCACGCCCCCAGATCAGCCGGCCAACAATTCGCTCTCCCAACTAAACCAGGTGGGCAATGTGGCTAAGCTGCGAAAGAACTTCGTTGGCAGCGGCCTCTTCCGCAGCAAGACACCCACGGCGGACTTGTACAGCACCCAGGTGAAGGAGGTGCTGCCGATGCGACCGAAGACCCCGCTGGTGGACACGCGACGGGCCAGGGTTCAAACACCCAGTAACGAAGTGGATGGCGAAGGAGATGGCGTCCCTGCGGCGGAGGGCAGGAAACCGCTTCAGCTGCAGACCCAGGGAAAGTCGAACAGTAGCCTGCAGGAACTGGACGACGTGCCCTACATGGATCCCTATCCCAAGATAAGCCGCCTCAGCGAGCGTTTGGCGGAGGTCACGCTGCAGGGAGAAGCTAATGGTGGCATTTACGGGCTGCCGCCCAGCATGCAGCCGCTCCCCTTGCCACTGGCCCACCACGAGTCCTGCTATTGCTACGACTGCCAGGCGCAGCGCTATCGCCCTGGATACTTTGTCCAGGCGCAGCAGGCCGCGATGTCGGGCACCGCCAGTCAGTACTCGCCGCTCCAGACGGCGCATCTCCAGAATGAGCGTATCCAGCGGCGGGTCAACGAGCTGCTCAGCGATCGGAGACGGGTAGGGTTCGCCAACCTGGATCCTCCACACCAGCAACAGCAGCAGCAGTTGCAGCACTCGCCCAGCTGGCGGAACGGAGCCCTGCTCGACGCCTCCGAAGATGCGGACCAGTGCGAGTTGACCGAGGTCACCCTGGAGCGCCAGGCGCTGGGCTTCGGTTTTCGCATCGTTGGCGGCACTGAGGAGGGCTCCCAGGTCACAGTTGGCCACATTGTGCCGGGTGGCGCCGCGGATCAGGACCAGCGCATCTCCACTGGCGATGAGATCCTCAGCATCGATGGCATCAACGTGGTAGGTTAACCTTCGGCTTGATAGTCTATAAACAGTTAATATATTAATGTAATGGTTTTAGCTGAACTCTTCGCACCACAAAGTTGTCTCCTTGGTGGGGGAATCAGCGCTACGTGGGCAGGTCACCATGATCCTGCGCCGTCGCCGGAATCCACTTTTACAGCAGGCTCCAGTTAGTACACAATTGCGGCGTTATCCTTACGATGTTATCGTGAGTAGGCATGAAAACGAGGGCTTTGGATTTGTTATAATATCATCATCGAACCATTACTACGGCTCGACAATAGGTAAGTGGTATATGAAGATGTTCTTTGTCGCTTACTTATAGTATATGTTTTTAGGCAAATTGATACCCGGCAGTCCGGCCGATCGATGCGGAGAGCTCAAGGTAGGAGATCGCATAGTGGCTGTGAACCGCATCGAGATCGCCGGCATGTCGCACGGCGATGTGGTGAATCTCATTAAAGAGTCTGGCCTCCATGTGCGACTCACCATCGGCGTTCCGTTGAAGGAGGGCGGTCCCAGTCCTGGTGGCAGTAGCGCTGGCGTGGCCAGCAACAGTGCCATGCAGGCATCGCCCAGTCTTTTGAAGGCACAGCTCTCCCACCAGCAGCAACTGCCGCAACAGCATCAGCAACATCTGCAGCAGGCGCAACTCAATCACCATCACCAACACCTGGAAATGCCAATGTCAATGCCCATGCCAGGACATGGAAGCTATTTAGAGCGACCCAGCAACAACATCGCGGCCACTTTGGCCCTGCACCAGCAGCCGCAGTTATGACTCTGAGACCTACGTATTCGGCTCTATAAGAGCTTTCTTTAGTGTTGGATCGCTTGTAGGCCCTTAGTTTGTACTTTAGTTAACAAAGTACTAACCCCAAAGACTGAATTTAGTAGCATATATAAGTCAAACCCATTGCGAGTCTTCAAACGTTTCGTGAACGCGTTTTTTTCACCAGTTTGCTAGGAACCCAATTAAGGGGTTATGCTAAGTATTTACTTGTACTTAATCGTTAAGGAAATTTGCCAGTTTGTGAGATATATATATACCAAGTTTTATCCGTTATTTTAGATACTTTATAGTTGTACAAATGTAAACGACTTTAATATTTTACCATTTTTTAATGTATGTTACTTAATCACATTAGACATTAAATTGTATTTTTCAAATATACACTTTATACAGTCAATCCTTTTGTCTATTAACTATATTGCAACGCTTTCAATTAAGAAAGGAATGAAAAGATTAAGAAATCGGAGAAAAACAAATATTTTTAGTTTCGTTTCTTTTTATTTATTTTAAATGCAACTTGGAAATAGAAACGAGTTAAGGAAAATAGAACATCAAGTTGCACTCCGAGTAGATATTACTTCTTTGCATATCTGTGGTTGATGTTGATGTAGTTGTAAGTGACACTGTTGGGTGGGGCGTTGTTGGACAACGCACGAGTGATTTGCTCCACTTCGACAACGGCCCTACGATTGTTGGCTTGAATCTGCCTAGAGGTTGCCCGACTCGGATTAGCCACTTGGTTGGAATAGGTCGTCTGCTGGTATTGGTATTGGTGGCCCTGGCCTCCATTCCAGTTGTCCAATCGTCGGTCACTCATCTTGATTTCTAAGTCGCAAAGAATTTAATAATCTGAGTTTTCAAACACGTCAGCTTACGAACCAATTTTAGTTTTTTGTGTTTTTTAAAAGCGTCTGTACTCTTTCAGCTTCGTCAAGCTACTGAAAGTTATTTCCTCAACGATCCCTGAAGGCAGGCGTGCTGTATCAGCAATTTGGTTGTTCTCTAGATTTTTGTATATACATAGATACTTGAAAATGTATTGGCGACAGTTTCAAATGCATTTATGCTTGTATCAGTAAAAAAGTTGTATATAGAGAGATTCCAATGGTGGGAACCCTTGTTTATAAAACTGAAATGACGGAAATTCAAGAGTGTCAGCTTTCCAATATATTGCACTTGAAGTATTCATAGTTGAATTATTAATTTTGAAAAATCTGTTTCATCTTCATAGCAAGACTTCAAACGCTCCGTGATTGTTTATTTACCCTATTTCAAAATCTGCCTACATCTTACTGTCCTTTCTACAAATGCCAATGCCTAGAGTCCGCTTATATTCAATTCATTTGCTTCTTCTAGAATGAAACAAGCTGCTAAAGGCGAAAATGCAAAATTCATGTGTCTAACTATTTCGGTTTTGGTTAAAAATTTATTTAATTCTTTTCAGTGTTTGCCATGATTTTCACAATCAATTATATAGTTTTTATTATACATAGTTTTCATATTAATATTCATGGTTAATATTAACGATGTTTACAACAAAATTGTTGCCGGGTGATGAAGACTTCGATGGATTTGATTTTGATGAGCTGGGTTTTTGCGACACAGCTTCTGGCGCATGAGACACTTTAATAAAACCGGAATGGAAAGTCCGTGGTGCGGTGTTTTGCGAAACCGACGGATTATTTCCATTAGCTGCGCGAGATCCACGTGAGTTAGAGTTGGAACTCCTGCGTCGAGATGTGGATGATTGATTTCGACCTCCACCTTGGTAGTTTCCGTCGCGATAAGAGTTAGAATGGAAAAAGTCTTGGTGACCATGTAGGCTCTCGTCGTTATATGGGTCCTCGTAAAGGTCCTGATGATCGTACAGGTCGTCATGATCAAATAGGTTATAATTGTAATCGTCCTGGCAATTATCAAGATCCCAGTTGCGACTCATGATGAAATCTGTAAACTTTTTTCTTATTATTTATGCTTTCCGGAGTAAATTCAGTGAACGAACCAAGATTTTTAAGTTTCCGATTTTCGTCTGCTTTGCTTCAATGACTTTTGAAGACTGAAACCCAATATAAACTCATCCACTATTCGTTTACTGAAATGTCGTCTCAGCGGTTTAGCCGTATATAGCCGGTATATAGAAAACTCTACCCCAGAAATATGTACTGAGCTTCACATGGGACTCCCAGAGAACTGTTATGGTTTATTATGTACATACATATAATACGTACATATGTACGTGCTCCCAATACGGACTGCGCTTTTCAGGCTTTTGTTTCGAGGCGGAATTATGTTTCAAAGTGTAAACATTTCAAGTGGTTTGGGTCGCATCATTTAATTTGATGATCCTTTTGAAGTGTAGCTTGAATTACTGTTTACGATTGCTGCTGCTAAAATAATAGAAATTCAACTTCGTCTCAATTTTTTGAGTTAGCTGAGAATAAACATTTTCAGATCAATCGATTTAGGTCTATTAAAAAATTGTGTTACTTCATTCAACAAAGCTAAGATAATTCAAATTGAGGTAAGACATATTTTTCATTGTCATTATTTATTCACTGTAAACTGTACACAAGCTTACGACGGTATAGCTAATACAAATACAAGTATTGTAGAGGTTCCATTACAAAATACAATGTGTCTGTTAAATAGGCTATGTTTAAGAACGAATATGTCCCTTATATGGGTTTGATTTTAAAGTGCAGGCCGATAAGTGAGAAGACCAGGCACTTGAGATCCTGCACCAGATAATAAAAGCATCGCAGGCCCTCGGGATCCTTCGAGCGGTTAACGTCCACCAACGATCCGGTCTTCGAGGTAGTGAACGAGATGTGTTCGTCCCCTATGACAATTTCCAGTTCCTAAACAAAACTTTTTAGTTAGTAGAGCGCCTTTCACGTGCTGTTCTTAAAAACCCACCTGTCGACCCACGCGATCTGGTGGAGGCCAGGGAAGATCATCCTCCTGCATGATCTCAGAGTCGATAATGATTCGCTTCAGCTCCTCCATCACGGATTGGTGTACAAAGGCTTCCTTACGGATCATGGTGTCGTTTTTGTAGTTCGAGTTGTTGGCGTACCGCAGCTTGCCGTCCGGGCGGAACTCAAACTCCAGGAACTCGTGGCCGAACTTGCCCTTGTGACCGACATAGTAGCGCAAGTAAAAGTCCTCAGTAGACATCTTTACTTCTATATGTTTATGTTTTTAACTAATTTTCAGAAAAATGCTATTTTCTCCCTCACTTTTACCGAAAACGCTGTAGAGGTGGAAGAAACGCGATGAAAATATCGCCGCACATCGATGGCAGGTTCGCTGTGAGTGGCTGATGTGGAAGAGGAAGCCAGCTATCGGCGTATCGATAAGACAACAACAAACCACGTCCGAGTGCTGCTCCGATTTCGTTAAAATGTAATTTAATTTTGTGGCAATGCAACTACCTCAACAAGTACGTGATTGGGGGGATGTGATTGGTAGTCCGTGGCTCCACCTCTGGCGAATTCGCGCGGCGCAACATTGTAAATGTGGCTAAATTGCTACAAAGTTGTCAAATCGGTTTGTTTTTGGCCGTGCAATTGTGTGCGTGTGTAGGGCCAACTCCGTGTTGTAATGGCGTCCATGTCATAATGGGAGAGGACTTGCGGCTGGCTCTCCGGCTCCGGCTCCAGCTCACACAACCATCTCTACATCCTTCGCTATGTCCTTCTCCTTCGCCATAACGCCGTATCTCGGTCAAAGTAATTTTACAAAAACACACACGGCCATTAATTTCAAACCGGAGAGCGGGAGCGAGTTGAGCACGAAGAGTGCGAGTCCTGGCAAGTGAAAGTGTCAGGATGTGGGTGAGCGCGCATGTGCCGCTCGTGGCGGGAAAACCGTAAGCGGAGCACGTGCGACCCCGGTCGTCCTTCGGGAAAAGTCGGTCGTGCAACAAAGTTGCGCTCAGCTGAGATTCCAATCCTCTTCGGCTCCAAGGAACCGACTGTGCTCTTTACGAGCGCTTACTTGGTGGTTGGTTTGTTTTGACTGTACGCCCGGAAAATCGATGACATTGAGTGCAACATTGTGGCATCCGCCCATCTGCTCATCCGCCCACCGATGTGCCCCGCCTAGTAATGCTCCCCAATTCCCACAATATTTACAACAGTTTATCCAAACAAATCTCTCGTGCTCTCCGCCTCGCTAAAACGCTCTCCGTCCGCACATGTATTACGTAGCCAAAGTCCGGATCCGGAGCTTTGTCGGGCCGCGGGTTACAACTTTGTTAACTTCGGGCTTTTGTGTGTGCAGTCGGTAACCAGGACAGTAACCGGGAGGGAGTTACTTTGTTGCGCATTAATTGATTTTTTCCGCAATCAGTTTTTGCTTCTTTGTATGACTTTAAGTGCTCATAAAAAACGGTAGAAAGTTTGTCATTAAAATCACATTGAATCAGTGGGAGGATTCGGTGAGTAGCGGAAGTGGAGGATGAATTACGGAAAGTAAGACAAGTAAGGCGAGTGGTGTGTATCCACAGAAGTTGCCAAGGGTTTACATATACATTACTGAATAAGTTAGTTACTGCGAGGGGAATCCCTTTTAGAATGGTGTATGTAGCATACATTTTTGGGTTGTATATCCGTAAACATTTATACAAATAATCACAGAAAAGGTTTTTCCATTTTCTCGCTTTTCCAGGCCATCTAGGGACCTGCCAAACGTGGCTGGGAAAAACCCTTGCATGTAACATTTCGCCGCCTGACCGAACAGTTATGGATTCATGAAACCTTCCACGAAGTAACGCGAAGTCAACATGTCTACGAACCCCAACCCCGGAATCCACCAGAATGCAACCTCCCTCTCGCCGAGAAAAAGGACGGTTCGACCAGTTCCTCGCAGAGGAACCTGCTCGAATTCCTGTGCATTTGCGTGGCCTGCGTTGCCTGCTACTACAACAGTACCCAGTGCGGCCTGGTCTTCGACGACATTAGTGCGATTAGGGACAACAAGGACCTGAGGCCCCACACGCCACTGCGCAACGTCTTCCTGAACGACTTCTGGGGCACACCAATGCGCAAGGAGCAGTCTCACAAGTCCTATCGCCCGCTTACAGTGCTGACTTTCCGCTTCAACTACTTGCTGCATGCGCTGGAGCCGTTTGGCTACCACCTCGTCAACCTGCTGCTGCACTTGTCGGTCTGCTTGCTGTGGCGTCGGGTCTGCCGGCTTCTGCTGCGCCAGTGTGCCTCGTCGGGCAGTAATGCCGCCGCCTCATCATCGTCCTCCCAGCTTAACACATGCGCTTTTGTGGCTTCGCTGCTCTTCGCCGTTCATCCGGTTCACACGGAGGCCGTTACTGGCGTCGTCGGGCGCGCTGAATTGCTCTCTTCCATTTGCTTTCTGGCCGCCTTTCTCAGCTATGCGAAGTCCGTCGGCGATTCGGTTTGCCCGCGTCGAACCAACTGGCTAGTGCTTTTCGCCTGCTTTGGCAGTTGCCTGCTAGCCTCCATGCTGTGCAAGGAGCAGGGAATCACCATTGCCGGCATCTGCGTAGTCTACGAGTTGTTCGTGGTGCATCAGCTCCGGCCGCTGCATTTGTGCCACTTTGTTTTGCGGCTGTTTGAGGAACAAAACGAACAACAGTCGCCGAAAACGGTCAATCCTTCAAGCATTCGACGATGGTCCTCGTCGGCGCTGTGGAAACGCTTGATCTTCCTGGCTGGCGTCACGTTGGCTCTGCTTGTGGGCCGTGTCTATGTGATGGGCTCACAACTGCCCATCTTTACGCGGTTCGACAATCCGGCTTCGGCGGCGGATACGCCAGAGAGGCAACTCACTTACGGCTACCTCATTTACCTGAACTGCTGGCTGCTGCTCTGCCCCGCGCTGCTTTGCTGCGACTGGACTATGGGTTAGTGGATCAAAAACTTTAAAAAACGTATACTAATGCTTACCACTTTTTCAGGTACTGTGCCATTGCTGCAGGGATTTGCGGATGCTCGCAACTTGACCACCCTGTTTACCTTCTTTGCACTGGGAGCCTTGGTTGCCAAGGCCTGCTTGACCCGCAATCGGGCTCAGTCACGGACTCTAATTATGTGTCTAGGATGGATGGTACTGCCATTTCTCCCGGCGTCAAATCTGTTCTTCCCCGTGGGATTTGTGGTGGCAGAACGCATTCTGTACATGCCATCGATGGGATACTGTCTGCTGGTGGCCTACGGATTTGAGCAGCTTCAGCGTCGTGGAAGCCTCAGATGGAAACGCCTTGGACAGGCAGCACTTACTATTCTACTGCTCACGCACGCGCTGAAAACGCATCAACGCAATTCCGACTGGCGTACAGAGTATTCCCTTTTTATGTCCGGTGTGCATGTTAATCAGCGCAACGCAAAGTTGTACAACAACGTGGGACACGCTTTGGAGAACGAGGGAAAGTTTGAAGAGGCGCTGCTATACTTTCAGCAGGCAGTGCGCATTCAGACCGACGACATCGGAGCCCACATCAATGTGGGTCGCACGCTCAACAATCTCAAGCGGTATGCGGAGGCTGAGCAGGCTTATGTTCAGGCAAAGGCTCTGTTTCCACAGGCGAAGCCGGGAGTCAGCTATCATGCGCGCATAGCGCCCAATCACTTAAATGTGTTCATCAATCTGGCGAATCTCATAGCAAAGAACCAAACGCGTCTGGAGGAGGCTGACCATCTTTATCGCCAGGCAATCAGCATGAGGAGTGACTACGTTCAAGTAAGATCCCTATTGATTCTTGTTTCAACTTCATTTACTGAACATATTGTGCTTACAGGCTTACATTAACCGCGGCGACATTCTTATGAAGCTGAATCGCACAGCTCAAGCTCAGGAGGTTTACGAACAGGCTTTGTTGTATGACAACGAAAACGCAGATATCTACTATAACTTGGGTGTGGTCTTCCTGGAGCAGGGAAAAAGCCAGCAGGCACAGGTGTACTTTAACAAGGCGATCGAATTGTATCCGGAACACGAACAGGCACTGCTCAACTCGGCCATTCTACTGCAGGAGCTGGGTGGCGAGGAGGCCCGCAGGGTGTCCAGAGCCCGACTTTACAAAGTTCTCGCAAAGGATGATCAAAACGAGAAGGTGTACTTCAACCTGGGCATGCTGGCCATGGATGAGTCGAGCTTCGATGAGGCTGAACAGTTCTTCAAAAGGGCCATTCACCTAAAGTCCGACTTTCGAAGTGCCCTATTCAACTTGGCTTTGCTGCTGGCCGATACAAAGCGGCCACTGGATGCGGTGCCCTTTCTGAATCAATTGATCCGACATCACGCCTCACACGTTAAGGGTTTGATCTTGTTGGGCGACATCTACATCAACCACATGAAGGATTTGGACGCGGCAGAGAAGTGCTACCGTAGCATACTTCACTACGATCCCCACAACACTCAAGGTCTGCACAATTTGTGCGTAGTGTTCGTGGAGCGGAAGCGACTTGCAAAGGCCGCGGCCTGTTTGCAATACGCCCAGCGATTGGCACCCACCGAAGACTACATCGGTAGGCACTTGCAGATAGTCCATGCACGGCTGCAGAAAATCAACAAGTTACCTGAGACTGCGCCAGAGCGAAAGCTCGCGTACGAGGACTATGATCCCCTCGAGTTTAAACTGCCACAGGATCGACCTTTGCATAAGCCGCGCAAGCGATCGTAGCAAAAGTTAGCTTAAATCGAATATCTGATAGAAGCATGTATAAAGACATTAGTTGAGTTAAGGAACGAAAGGTTCCACGTTCTGTGAACTATACAGAGTCTGATAAAAATAACACAAAGTGAAATAGTGGAGCATTCCACACAATTCCATTGTACTTATTAGTTATTATCGTAATACTTCGACCATATACTCATTTTGAAGATATTTATACAACTTTTGTGAACCGATTTCATGTTTTTTTCAAAATGCAATATGACATTTAATATTGTTTTGTAAATATAACATACAAAAAGTAAAAAAAATGTACTAACTAAAAATAATTTATACAAATAAAATATAAACATGAATCAAATATTTTAATTGCTGGTAAGGGTTTAAATTTAAATGAGCAACAATAAAAATGTTTTCTCTTTGCATGTTCCTTTTATTGACTTCCTCTTCAGTTTTGTGATATTGAGACACTTAATCTTTTATATATTTTCATGAAAAGAATCTACTCTGCTCTTACAATGAAAAATAAATCTTTGATTATTAGCTTAAACATATTCCGAGCTTAGTACAAGTTAGTAATGCTCCCTTACAAACTAGTAGTAATTGTATTTTATATAGTTTACATTCGTTCTGGATTTTGCTATATGCGGATTATAAAATTGATATTTTAATGACTCTTTACTCGATTCGCTTACAAGAGAACTTAATAGTTAGAGGGGCACATTAAGATTTACAGAGTTACAGGACCCGTCCTAAATAATTTCTTATAAAATCGGTGAGCACATTCTGAATAAATGTCACGCATTGATGGCTACTACGTTGACTTCTATCAACGATATCCTACCGATCCCGCCTTTAGGTGATGAGGGGTTCTTCCAGTGACTAGATTTGCGAGACTATTTTCAACAATATTTTGGAGTGGGGACATACTCCACCCTCCAGTTAGCTGTACATAAGGCAGCGGGTTAACCCGGGGATCCACGACAGCTTATTCGCAGGCTATTTTCCCATCAAAGCTGCTGAGGGCTATGGCAAACGCCTGCATCGCGCACAGTGGATAGCGGTAGTCCATGGTGAAGACGTCCTCCGAGGTGCGACCAAATTGCATCACTATGTACTCGGGGTCGGAGTCGTGGACCAGCTGAAAGTTCTTCACCGAAGCCTGGGTGACGCGGCCATGGAAGTTGAGCACATACGATTGGGTTTCGTCATTCCACACCGGCGTCTTGTTGTGCAGCTCCACAATATTATCCATGTTCTGAGGGTATTTATTGATTACCGTGGGATTAACTGGGAGAATCAATCAACTCACCTTCATCTTCCACAGGTCGAGGATGCCCTGCTGCTTGGGATCCGCTGAACTGATCTTGACACGCTGATCGTCCTCAGTCATGCCCGGCAGTATAACAGTCATGTTGCGGGGACCCTTGAAGCCCAGGATGTTGGTGTCCTGTAAATAAAGGATAACGAATTTAAAGGTTAGGGGTAAAAAGTCATAATCCGATTCATTTCAACCAGTAAAAACTTACGTAAATAATTACAGCCAGGTCAAGTCTAGGACTCTCCGTGCTCTCCTTGTTGCCATTGTCAAAGACCGTGAAGGATGTGCCAAAGACATTGGAGCGGAGCTTGCCACAGAAGCCATCGGCGTTGCGGGACAGATCCGTGGGATCGCAGCTCACTATGTAGTTGGATGTCTTGCTCTTCTTGCGCTTGCGACCTGCAAAAGAAGTCGATTAAGTGAGATTACATCACATCACAAATTAAATATTGAAAACCCACCTCCCAGCAGGAATATCTTTTTGCCGTAGTCCCTTTCCAGGTGCAAATAGTAAATGGGAAAGAGACCCCGGTCCATGCCTTTCCGGTCCCGGGTGATGCGGCACTTGTAGAGGACCCCCTGCGGCGCAGGTTGCATCACGAACTGGTCGATGTTCCCGATGACATCGCCCTCGGACTCCCCGCCAGCTCCGTTCCCCGTTCCATTGCTGCTTCCGTCCAGCGTTGCATCCTTGTACGGCGACGAGGCCATTCCGGCAGGACGCACAGGAGCCGCCCCCGCCACATTGCGATTGGTGTAGTCGTCCTCGTCCAGGTTGTCGCTGAAGGAGTGCTGGCGGGCATGCGGCTTCTGCGAGTGCGTCGAATTGGCGCTGTGGCTGGCTGGCTGGTGCTGCTCGATCACCGTCACCGGACTGCTCTCGTCGTCCTCCAACTCGTGCGACGAGATCTCCTCTATGAGATCAGCTAGAAAATGACAACAAGAACCGCATGATAAATAATTAATTTATTTTTCCCATGTACATCGTGTTAAACTTGCAAAAAGTGTGAAAACTACGGTATGATTAATTAAAAAAAAATTATAACAATTTCTGTTCCGAAAACATAAATGTAATTTTCATAAAATGCTTTTATTCTATAGTTTGACCAATGGGATGTAATTCTTGTGTAATTGCTTGTTTGTTTTAATTCGCAGGTTGTTGTTTTCGGTAATTAATTATTGCGGGATTTCCCTTCTTGTTTTATTTAACTTTAACTCAATTTAAGTTTTCAGGAAATAATTGTATAAAGTATATTTCAATCTTGAGAAATTAATTTGCTTAAGACAAGGGGATTCGATTCTCTTGAAACTCAATTTAATAATGTTTCTGATTCTGCTGGACGACCACTTACCCTCCTGGTTGATGGTGCTCAGGCTGCGCATGTTGTTCGAGTGGTTGCGACTGGTGTTCATGGCAACGGGAGTGATTCCGCCGGGACTGCCGTTGGTGAGTATCTGGTCGGGATTCTGAGGGGAGCTGATGAACTGCATCGGACCATCGTAGGCGTGCAGCTCCCTGCTGTTGCTGCGCATCCCGGACATCGGACGATTGATCTGGAGGTCACTGGCCTGGACCATTCCCGGCGAGGCTCTCTTCTGTCGGATGTAGGCCTCCATCAGCTGGCGCTGTAAGCAGATAGGCCCCAAAAACATTTGATTACTACAAACTGTAATCATAACTCACTCAAAGACTTCTTAGATTACAAACCACCTAAGGTTATTAGATAGTAAATCAAATAATTGCGATAACACAAGCTGATACGAGTGGACAAAGCGTTTGCCACAATTATTTTTGATATTCTAAACGACAATTTGCTGGCGAATTTCTGAAAATCCAATTAGGCGGCCCAGTTTCAAGTTGCAGCGAAATTGATAAACAGAATTTACACCCACGCAGCGGATAGATAACCGCATAAATGCCCAAATATTTGCATATGCATGGATACCCCCAATTCCCTCCGGCGGAATGCAAAAACACGAGCACCAGGTAATTGGCCCAGCATCCCGACGGGGAAAAAAATAAAAATATTAGAGAGAGAGAGAATCGAGATGATCCATCAGCAGTAGCACCACCATCACCACCACCCTGAAAACCACCCCAGAGCCACCAAACCAAATGGAATGGGTGGGTGTGGGAATGCGAATGCAAATGGAACCGAAAGTGGCAATGGGAACGGGTACGAGAACCACCGACGAACGACAAGCGGGACAGCCGTTGATGGCAATGATTTCATTAGAGATTTAAATTTCAAGTTCACGTTCACGTTCGCCAGCGCAGAAACAAAAGCTGAATCTGTCAAAAGTTGCGCTTGAATTGCGCATATAAATCAAAGAACACTCGCATATCAAGAGTTTAATGGCATCCCTTTTCTTTTTCTTTCGCTTTGGAGGATACCAGAATCCAAACTAAAGCCCTGCTTTGCGCAAGGAAATTTGATTTCAAGATTGGGTTCTTAATATTTAATAACAATAACCATTTGAGATTCAAATGCCAAATAAAAAGGATGCCACATTTGTGGAATTGTGTTTGTCGGTTGTAAATATTTGATTTTATAAATGGTAAGCAAAAACAAAACAATTTGTAAAATAGATAACCAAATGTATTTTTGAAACATTATTCTCTATTGTTTTCATTTTAAATTTAACTTTGTTAAAAGAAAATGTACTCCAAACCTTTATGTAAAAATATTAAAGAAAATAAGGTATTCTTTGGTTCTTTTATTACTTGAAATATATATCGTTTTGGGGCTCTACAAAAATCTGGTTCTACAGGAGATTAACGTTGCTCAGGATGCTCTCAATGGTGGAGTTCACTTCGCGCTCCTTCTTCGCCGGATCGCACTGGAGCTGGAAGAATTCGGGCAGATCCTGCTCCGCCTCGAAGGCGCTCGTCCTGTTGGCGCCCACCCAAAGGTCCAGTCGGTCGTAGATGACTCCCGTGGGCCCCTGCTGCAGGAACCAGTCGATGGAGGTGCGGTCCTTGATGTCCGATCCCCAGAGCAGGACGATGGGAACCTGAGCCTTGGCCCGTTGCACCAATTGAGGATCTGCCTTAACAAACACTGCGTTGGGTGAAACGCCACCCAGATCAAAAGCCTGGGCGAAGTTGACACTCTGTTCCACTGTGCTGGTTCGCGGATCGGTGAATTGATTCTCCTTGCTGCTGGACAAGAAGAGCACAGGATACATGTGCTGCTTGAACCGCAGCAGGGAACACAGATCCGCATCGAAGCTCTTGATCACATTCAGTCGCCCGCATCCATGTTGTCGCACCACCGCCAGAATTCGATCCACAAAGAGGTTTTTATCCAGGGTCTGCTCACTTTGGAACTCTCCATCGATCTTCTGCTGTGGCCACTTGATCTCGATGTCGAATCCGGTGCTCTGGTTCACCCGTTCAAAGAAATCCTGCAGCGTGGGAAAGAGTCGCTGCTCCGGCGGCTCCACATTGTTGTGCGCCGGATACTCCACAATCTTGTTGCCCACAATCTGGTAGGTTTTCAGATCCTTCAGCTGCTCATAGGATATGTCCTTCAGCAGGACCTCAGTCAGATCATCGCGACTCGTGGGAGTCTTGGAGTCAATACAAACTCGTATCGAAAAATCGTGATGGATGATGGGCACCAAATCGCTGGTCAGCTGCACATCGAACTCCACGAGATCGGCTCCCATTTTGGAGGAGGCCAGCATGGAGGCCACCGAGTTCTCGATGAGAGGCGCTGCATTGGAGGTGACCGTAAGGGATTGACCCAATCCCCGGTGGCCAATCTCCAGAGCTGTCCAATTGGAGCGCCAGTAGTTGGCGAAGCTGGTGCGCAGATCGAAGCCATCCTTCTCCATCGGTCGGATGAGCAGGTACTCCAGCTGGAGTCCACCCACCACGCGCTGCCAAAGAGGAGAGAGGAGATCCAGGGAGACCTTTCCCTCGCTTCCAGCGAAGGAGGTGTGCAGCAGGTGCGAGTATCCCAGCAGGCGGACCACTCCACCCTCCGGCTGTTCGCCGTAGACCTCCACCAGGAAGGCCACCTGCTCCAGCTGCTCCAGGCTCACGTGGAACATGAGTATATCACCCGGGGTGTAGGGCACTCCGTACTCCGGCTGAACACGAAGTTTGCTATCCCCAAACGACATTCGCACGTACTCCAAGCTGGCGCGTGCCGAACTCAAAACGGGTGACAGGCTCCTCGGGTCCACGGGTTGCAACCGCAGGCGCAGCTTTCCCTGACCCACTTCCGGCTGCTCCTCCAAGGTCAGAGCCTCGCGGAACACCTTCAAGTGCAGGATAACGCCAGAGTCCTGCAACCAGCCACGCGACAACTGGTGTTCTCCTTCTATCACTCCGAATTCATCGCTCCGATTGCCATTGAACTTGGTGGTGTTGAAGGATCTGGATTGGACATGCGATTCCCAGCGGCGGATCTGCACTGCTCCACTTTGGCCAACGGCAGCAGCAAAGTATCGATACTCCACGCTGCTGTTCTGAGGGAATTCCACGGAGGCTGTCCACACATTGTGCACCTCGGTTCGATTCAGGAGCACCGCCTGTCCAGCTTGCCAGGACCCCAAAGCGGGCAGGTTGCCCACCAAAGCGGGACGCTCAAAGGTGGCCAGTTGATCGCCGTCCTGAACAGTTAGGGTGAAGTTAAAGGTGAGCGGAGCGTTCCGCTTGAGGGGCACATAGCGCCTGGCTGCGTAGTACTTCTCGTAGTAGGAGGTATCACAGAAGGTCTCCACTGGCAGGAGGCACAAGGTGCTCAGCCAGGCGACTGTGAAAGCGGCGAACGTCTTTCTCCAGGACAACGACATGTCTGCTCTCGCCGGCGATCGCGTTGCAACTGGGTGTACTTTATTTACCAGAACTGGTCACCAACTGGTCCTATCGGGATCAGCAGACCGAGATTTATGGCTGCGGGCACATCTTCAAGTGGTCGCGACGATAAGGTTCCACTCGGAATCGCAGCTCCAACGCGAAATGGCAATTCGCTGTCGTCTGGCCGGCGGACAAATCCGTTCTGTTCATGCACGTGTAGCCTAGACTCGTGCACCCCGCAGATACATTCACCGATACAGATACAGATACTCAGATTCAGATACAAATAGTTGATATATACATGTACGACAAAAAGCTTTGGGGTGGTGCCTACGTCATCGTGGCAGTTTAAATGAATTTGATTTCGAGTGTTGCGCAAAAAAGCTTCACCTTCAATGGATTGTCGTGGCATGGCATGGATTGAAATACCTACATACAGAGACCAGAGACCAGAGACCAGAAATTGGAGACCAGAGACCAGAAACCGGAGACCGGAGACCCAGAGCTCCCCTTATGTGGTGGCTGACCCCCAGTTGAGCAATTTACATGGTGAAAGTTTGCCAGCGCCCGTGTAATTTATCCGCTTCGCTCAATTACAACATTTCGTAACGTTCTGCTTTTCTTTCGAGTGCTGAAATTATAATAACAACATTCTGAATGGCCAATGGCACAGTATAGTTTCCTCAATCACTGAAAGGGTAAAATGCCACAAAAAAGAGAACACGTGATTAAATTCGCATCATGATTGGAATTTCTTCAATTGGGGTTCCTGCTCAAAGGCAACTACTATCTGTGAGGTGTTCTTCTCCCTCTCTTTTTTTTTTGTCTGCTGCTTTTTATGAGGAGAAACACGATTATGTGAAAATTCGAAATCAGTTGGCTGCCAAGAAGAACTCAAGCAGCGAGCACGTACAACATGCAGGAAGTTGCGAGGGAAATGCAAAGCGGGTGAAAAACGAGGGACGTCGCCTTGGGAGATCCGGTGGGAAACTTGTAAAGTCGAAGTGGAGCACACTACCCCAAAAGAAAAACTCCTCGGAGGGGTTCGTTTATGGCCTGACATAAATATCAACTATAAAGCAGGGAATGCACAAAGTTTAGCTCGACGACGACGCTTCTAGTTGATGAAGCAGTCAATGATGCAAGGCATTAGGTTTAGCTCCGCCATGAAATTATCTGCTACAGCTGCTTTGAAATTTATGGGAATGCCATTAAATTTGTTATCTGTTTGAATTTAATAGTAGTTAATAAATAAACTTAGCATTTTAGGCAAACCTTTCAGTAATTTAATAGTACTCGAAAATAGGAACCTATTATTTTAAAAACAAACTTGTATTGTTTCACTCCCCAAAAAATGCTTACGAAACCTTATAATCTCACGCTGTTCACAGTGCCATAAATCTTTGCAGCTTATCAATTCGCATTTATAAGTCATGAGAAAACTCACAAAATTCCCATAAAGCCCATATCCTTGAGCCGCAATCCCTCGCTTAAAACATAATCATAAGGTTTTATTATTTTTCAATTTCACACACAAAGGCGCATTAGATGGCAAGTCAAATTAACGAAAATATACGACTGCGGGAGGATGGTGTTGTCGTAAACGTGAACGGGAAATGTTTTTCAGCAACTTTTGGGGCATGCTTGGCGCATTTATTTTAATTTGGGGCCAGACAAATTTGCGTATACGTAATGAAGGGGTCTCGCCCATTGCAATAAAAGCCATGAGTACAAAGAACACCCAACACACCCACACCCCCACTAACACTTGCACCCCAAAGAAGGTCAACATGTGTTGGCAACTGATATTCGGTGTGTTGTGTGGCATACTTTCGGGGGTCGCGTAATAAAATGATTACTCATACGCCCCATGCGCAAAACAAGGAAATTGAGAACGTCAGCAAGCCAAACAGCCCGGAATGTATTGTGGCTTTTTTGTTGGCGCCCCTTGTTGTTTGTTGTTTGCAAATACGACGACAGCCAGGATAAGCAAATCAACCCCCCTTCCTCGTTCCCCCTTCCGATTTATCCTCATCACCGTTCAGCTCTCGAGTTGGCAAGGACTCGCTGCTGGATGCTGATGTGTTTTGGCATAAAGGATTATATGCACGTATTACATCGGCTTAAGTGAGCTTCCGCATGCCAAAAAGCCGAAAGGCAACAAATACACGCAGAAAAAGAGGAAAACTTGATTGCAACTTTTACTTAATTTAAACAAACAACTGTTGGCCAAAACAAACTTGTAATTCTTGCGATAAGAAACTCAAAGCAAGGAAAATTGCTTGAAGAATATTTATTAGAAAGTACAGAAGACAAAATAGTTCAGTAAATCTTTTTCCTATCTATAACATTTATTTTATTTTTCTATTTCTGGCTGTACAGACTTAATAAATCGAGTGTAAATCACTCTAATTTTTCAACACTTTAATAGATTTTGGCAAGGGTTGGCCCAACTAGATTCACGCACACGCGTCAAATCGAATCACCGATGGCCTGGAAAAATGTTCATCAATTTTCAGCCTGGCCCGGCAGACAATAGATATAGACTGGCTATCGCCACGATCCGGCCATTAACCCCTCAAGTGTGGGGCAGGATGTTCAAGCTGCGTGGCAACTATTACGAGGGGCAACATTCGAGCAGCTTCTCGCCTCCACCTTTGACCTCCCACTTTCGGATTGCACCCTTCATCCGGTTATTTGTTGCGGGAGCTGCTGCCCTTGTTGGTTTTGGCCATATTGACATTCATTTACGTGCTCGCTTCATTAAGCCATAAGCCATGACCATGTCGGCGTGTCATGCCCACATTGTTCCCCTCACAATGGAGACACTATTCCAAAAACGTGGATGTGTCATTGGGGGATGGGGTTTTGCTCAAATGTTTTCCCAAAATTGGGTAAAGAGCTTGCGGACATTGGCTTATGGATTTGGCTACAAAACAAAATGACCAGCTATTTACACACATAAAACTTTGTGAGTCCATAACAATAGGGAACGAAAAAGGATGTTGTGGTTAGTCACAATTCTTTAAACCACAGATTAACTTTAAAATGCATGCTGCTAAACAAAATAAATACTCTCCACTAGTTTATCCTTGCTAAATAGAACGAAAATCTAAACAAAGTTAAAAGTGCAAATAAAATAGCATACGAAATTATGCGACTTCCGCTGGAAAAGGTTGGCAAGCGTTCAACTTTAGATTGGATTCCTCGTTCATTTTGCACAGTCATGTATGTTTTATTTCGTTTGTGGCTTCGTAAATAGATTAACACATGGCTGAACACGAAGCTCAATAGAGGTTGTGCTAAATATTTAATGAGCTTGTTTTTCGTTACTCTATTCTTATTTTGGCTTTGCGTGAATGTGTTTAAGCTCAGGTGAATTTTACTTCCGGCTTGAATGAAGGATTAAAATATTCCATTGAGTTATTGGGATAACAAACTACTCTTTTCATTTATTAAAATATTGTCAGAACTGTCAAATTGTCTGATAGCGTATTAAATTTAATGGTATTTATTGGTTTCAATATTATTAAGCATCGATAAATTTAATAACGTATATTTTGCCAATATTTGCATGCAGTCGACCGACATTTGAATCCTTCGAGCTGTCTCCTTGTCTCCTTGTGCGGATTGTCATCTGTATGTTGGCCAACCGCAGGCAAAGCAACAAATGGAAACAAGAAAATTGCTGCGGTTTCGAATGTCCTCGTCCTTTCGCCTTCTTTTTATCTAGTATTTTTTGCTCTTCCTTGGCCCGAAGTCGTTTGCCAAGTACTTTGATTTCCGACTTTGGGGCCTGACAAGTGCAAATCCTTTGCTCACACAGCCCACTGACAAAGTTGCTAAGACTTGACAAAGCCACTTAAGGACCCCAAGTCCTGTTGTGAAATACATTTGAGACGCGTGAGATCCTCGGGCGAAAATTAGTTACGTTTTTAGTGTAATTCCCCCTTTGCGTGGTCCTTTTGTAAGGAAATTCCGAACAATAACAAGGATATCAACAAAAGCCAACATGAGTGTGTTGGTGTGTGCATGTGTGACCCTGTGTGCGTGTGACCGTAGCTGTGAGCGTGTGTGAGTGGATGGGCGCCTGGGAGTATGCAGTGAAATGTGACAGGGGGCAAGTGACTGAACAAGTGAAAAGGAATAGAAAACAATCGCGATGCCAACGATGCACCTTGGGCTTCAGTATGTATAAAATGATTTTGAAAATAAATAAATTACATGTTAAAAAAACATTAAAAAGTTAATTAATAGAGCTCTGATAGATAACAATACAATTAAACTAGCTAATTTGCACGTTTTAGTTCCTTAAAAAATTAAATTCGAAATACGAAATTTTAAAAAATTATTTAAAATATACATCTGATATTTTCATCATTTTCATGCAAGTTTAAAGGTTTTGTAGGTTAGCGTGGTGTTGAAATTTTGATAAAGCGATAAGAATAAACTGTTAGAAACAATATATATTATATAGAAGTTCTTGTAAGTAAAATGAAAGAATGGTTTTCTTGTTGAGCGTTAGCTTTTAAACTTATACAATTATACTTCTGTTGAATCTTTTATTATTTTTCCAACTTAGGGAAAACAAAAGTTGAGCCACTGTGCCGTGAAGTCAAAGAAACATAGCCCGCGGCGCCTCCCATCCTTTTGTCGAATGTACATATTTGTGGGTGTCGGAAGGTATGTGTCCGCACGGAGAAGAGCAGGCTGACAAGCAGAAAGTCCATGACTTCACTCGTTAGCGCCAAGGCACCAAGCCACATGCCGCAAACCCCCTCCATTCCCCTTCACCCCCTCCATCCCGTGGCGGGACCTGTTCACGCTCCTGCACCTGCACATCGGGACATTGAGCAAACACCCAGAAGCCGGCCTCCACTGACCCGCTCCCCCTCCCCCCTTTTCACCCCACCCCCCTCGCGAAAGGCCAAATCAGTTTCCACTGTGGCATGTGTCCGCCTGCCAGGACCTCCATCCGCTGTCCGCCTCTGTTCTCCGCTGTCCTCCCACGGAGAACGGCTCCCGATTCCCTGGACATTCCGCGCTCCCCGGCGAGTGCTCGGCGAGAATTGTTTGCGCGGGGCAAACAGAACGAGTTGCCAGATGGCGCCGACTGAATCGGTTGCCTGGCTATTGTTGCCACGGGAATATGAATACGAGGAACTATATGGAGGTACGTCGTACACAAGAAAAAACTATAAG